CATAGCAGTAGTCAAAACATGAAGCAAATCAATGTGTGTGTGTGTCTGTTGATTAAGTGGTGTGTAGCTAAAAACATTCTCACACGACCTCTAGTACTTGTCGTGACTTAAACATAAGAACATATTATGGCTAAGGCTACAGTTATACACGTCATAATAATAATATTAAACACCCTGTCTGCTGACAGTCATCAACTCTTCTCTCTAGTTATCCTTGACCAGATGTACCCTGTAGAAACTCATAAGCATGCCTAAGAATTTAACAGTCTAACTAGACATCCTATCTCCACTAAACATTTCTAATACATAAAGTATCTATCCAATATCTATCTGACTAAAAATACCTAACAGTAGGATCTGGCAAGAGTACAAGCCCAGACAGTGAGTGAAGGTTCAGTTCAGCTCTCCTGGATCTTGTCAGACTTGTCCCTGTCCTCCTGACTACCTCCTCCTGAGACCTAGACACTGTAAGCAAACGACACAGAGTTAACATCAACAAGGCCCACCACCAGTGACGCAGCAGGACGGATCTCCCTTTCCTTAGCCTGAGGTGCTCCTCGATTTCCTTCTCCTTGGGTCTCAGGCAACTTTGACTTATCATCTTTGTGTGCATATATAATTCCTTCAGAGCTGTCTGCCCAGGGAGTGCCTCACTGGTGCCAAGCATCTGCTCTGTGATGGGACTCTTTGATGCATGTATCCCTCCCCATGCAAAAAGCAAAGACTAGAGTGTCATGTAAATTTGATTGCAGCCTCCTCTGTTGCTGCTGGTGCCCAGGGAGTGCAAAAAAGTGAAAGTGCTGTTTTCTCTCTGTTTGAAATATAAATCGCTCCACTTTAAGCTTGATTTTATAGACTTGTTTAATGTTGTTGCTTCAATGGCTGGGTTAAATGGCTTTTTTTAAATCAACTCAGAGGACTATTATGGGGAAACACATTGTCGTGGTCAGTAAGGGAGCTAATTATCTGAGGTTTATCGATGTAATAACATTAGAGTTCCACTGTCTTTGTTGAAGGGGAAGATCTGCACATTTAATTTTATGTCATTGTATCTCTTTGTTTTTCAGAAACCTCCTGGACAGAGACACATTCTCCAAGTCTGATCCAAGTAAGCCTGTTTTCCATCACACACATGCAAATGTGAACACAAGCACCAACTCTCAGCAGGCTGAACACATCCTTATACACACGCTGACAGGCACGTGTAAATGTGATCCTTAAATTCTGCAGACAAACACAAATATCCACAGATAAACATCCTCCACATGCAGGCAGATTTTAACTTTACACACACGAACACACACACTCTGCATCGCCAGTGTGAATCAGTAGACATTTGCATATGTCAGGGGTCGTATTCGTCACTGTTCTCTGCTCCCAGTGTGAGTGAGGGGAACCAAATCGTCCTCACACACAAAACAGCCACTTTCCTCCTACAGAGTAAAGGACGTATTCACACATACACACTCCTCACTCCCTTGACACCAGGGGTGCAATTTGGCAACTGGTCCAGTGTTTTTTAAAGGCCCAGTCTGCAATCCAGCAGCAATTTTCCTTGAAAGAGAGACACAGAGTGTTGTTCTGAAGATGTTTTCCTTTTAAACATGCAGACTGTTGTAATTCTACTCCTAATTTCATGCAGCGGTTTTGCGTTTATGCGTCAGACCTTAATACTTTTTGATAAATGCTGACATGCAGCTGTTGCACTGTGCATCAAGAAGTGTCACATGCCAGAAACTAGCAAGGTCTGATCATATTTGTTATCTTGTTTAGATATGCCAAGATCCAGCTACACATTATCAGCCAGATTACTGACAGGCATGAGGCGCCAGGAATGAAACTGAGTGTTGGACACACACTTGCTTGTTTTTTCGCCTCTTACTATGTCATGGTTGCAGACAAGTGAAGCAGAATTTGTGAAACCTCACTATGTACTGACAAAAGAAAAAACGAATGTGTCACAATTTTATTGCTGTTTCTCGCCAGATTTGACAACTTCTATGACATGTCTGTAGTTATTAGCTGAGCGCTTTGCAACTGTGAACATGGAGAAGTGAATGAGAAATGATTGATTTCATTTCAGTGAGCCTGTAAATAACAGGTCAGGAGAATTATACCAAATAAATCACATCAGCCATACCTTTGGAGGCGACATTATTCAAGTCGGGAAAGATGGCAGGTTATGATTGATACAATATCTGAATTTATGACTCTGTGAACACTTAATCTGACACAGCGACCGACTCAATCTAGTCTGATGCTTGAATTGTGTTAATGAATTGTGTGAGAGCTTTAGCATTTGGTGTGTTAAAAATAAATATCCCCATCAGCTCCATTGTTGGAAATTTCAGATGAAACCAAAGATAAGAACATTTCATATTCATGTACACAGAGAAGCTTGAGGATAATGTAGTTCCTTACTGTTTTCATCTGTCGTGCCTGCATTGTTTTCTGTAAGAGACTGTGACAGTCTCGTTGGTTAAAAGCCCTCTAAAAATAAACGTGATGGGAGGAAAATATGAGAGGACTTACAATGAAATCAAATATGTGTATCTTCTTTTTTTAACCCTCTGTCCAGGGCATGGTTAGCATGCATTCTTTTCAGCATCGCCTTCCTTCATTTCCTAAGCATTCAGCACTTTGCCACCTGGGTGAGGCACAGCAAACCCACTGCAGTTTTTAGTGTTGGTTAGTGTGTGTGAACTCATAATTGATGAGCTCTCAGAATTGCAGACCGGACCTTTAAGTGTCAGACAGTGGGAGAGGAGGATGAGCATCCCTGCCCGCCCTAATGTTTATACAAGGAGGCACTTGTGCTGCGTCCATGTCTCTGCACTGCTGACAGCATTGGCCCCAGTCACACAACATTAGACCGCCTCAGCAGAGACGCACACAAAAAGCACACACATCCAGGGCCTCAGGCAGGCTCACATACCACATTCATATTAGCTTATAAAGCTGGACAACAAACCAATGTTTCTGTTTGTGTGTGTTTATATGTTGGTGCATGAATGTGGGTGAGCTTTGATCAGCGTGCTTCAGCAGAGAGGAAAAGAGAGGGACATTATTAAAGTGTGCAACAGCACGATCTCCTACATTCACAACAGAGATGGTGTTAGCAGTGCTATTGTCGAGCTCCTGCTGTCATCATCAGCAAGATGACTAGGGTTGAAAGTACACTGGTATGGATGTGAGGATGCATCGCTATTTACAGGCATGTGATTGTTGTATAATCCCCCCCCAAGACCATGTGCCATCCGATGCTTCAGTGCAAGATTAAAGGATGACTGTATATTGAACCAGCTGAGCCATAGCTCACTACACACCATCCACAGTGCAACATATACAACACCCAGACTGATAGTCTGCCAACGCACGTTAAATCTGTGTACTCCCCAGACGCCGCAGGGTCATTACGATGTTTGTTTTTTGTGTTTGCTCTCCAAAACACTGTGACATTTTCAACAGTGATTATATAGTGTATCTGGGCTCATCAGCAGCTTCATTCTGAATAACAAAAGTTCAGTTTTGAGGGGAAAAAAAAAAACAGGAATTCATCAGCCAGGCCTGTTGATTTTCACTCATCATCACGACTTAATGAATCCATGATTAAATCAGTCAGGTCATTTCATCAGTTGGTGATAGCTCATACATTAACTCATACATTAGCTCAGGCATAAATTAATTAGTGCTGTAATTAATGATAATGCATGTCGCCTTGGTGGAAGGTGTTGCCTTCTACATTGGATATCTTTTAAACATGTTACACCTGTTACACAAAACTTTGCTACTTCGGATTAAAAGTATTGCCTGTATTAACCTAAAGAATCACTCAATCTCCCGAGTAATCTTTTGTTTTAACTTCTTCATAACAGTTAGCTTGTAGCTTAAAAACTTGCTATGTTAACAAACTGGTGGTGCATGACAGACCACGGTCAGAGCTGAAATGACTGCCTCTATGCAAGTTTATACTTAATTATCAGGTATTTTGGTAGATTACTCTTACTGACATTTTACTTGCAGAGATTTTATTACAAGTACAGTGCCAAGCATAGGTGTCGTTAACTTGTGCAATATAAAAATGCTTGCACTGGGTGTGCTGAAGGTGTGTGCTGGATTTACAATACAAGACAAAATGAGAGCATCGCTGCAAAAATGTGAGCGGCACATTAATAGTTTTATCTCAATTATTTTATTTTCATGATTGTTAGAAGCCAAAATCGGAATTGAAAATAAAATTCAATTAATCACCCATTCCTGACTACTAGTACTGCTGCTGCTACTACTTTTTATTATTTCTACAATATCCAGTTTTACCAAGCAGACATTCACAGTATTAACTTAGACTCACAACAAACCATAATGACATATTTTGGCATGGTAACCCTTAGTTCATGTCTTACATTAGCATTTCCACTGCTCTGCTACTTACTCTTTCATTGTGTAAACATTTAAAACAGATTTACAAGTGTGCAACCCCAGAGGCCTTCGGTGTCGGTCGCTGCCATGTGACAGGCGTGTACAAATACAGTAAAGGCAGATAGAATGCCAATGAAATGTCACTTTAGTGCCAGTTGATTGTTTTGCTCGCTTCTTGCTAGTGGTCCTTCATCAAAAAGCAGCACAAGACTCCCTCAGACGCAGACACTTGAATGTCAGTAAGGAGGACTTTCTCATCCCCGTCCCCTCCACTTCACCCCCTCACTGAAATATCATCCTGCTGCAAGGCACAGTTCTAGTGACATTTAATTAGGGAGTTTTCCTCTCGTGCTGGGGACCGGGGTAAGAACACGCTCTCAACAAGCTTCTCTGTGCAGTTTGTTCACTGTTAAATTCTCTTCAATCAGTCTAACCCTGTCCTGTTTCTCTCTTCCTGTTTCTAATTCGACAGTTTGTGTACTATACACTCAAGGAATAGCCAACAGGGAATGGAGAGAGGTGAGTACTGAGGTGGGGGAATTATTTATGACCAGGGAGCTTAAATGGCAGCAATGCAGCAGTCTCAGTCAGTGATTATTTGTTAAATGATAAGACCAATAACACGGCCCGCTCTTGCTGCTGCATTTATTTTCAGGAAGTGTGCAAATGTTTAATGACACTGGTGTATGATTCTCAGGGCATCGCTGTTAGAATACTTGTGTGGTTTAAGTAGTTTAGGTGTACACCATCTAAACTAGAGGTCTTTATGAGTCTTATTTCCTAGTAAGTGAGACCCAACACAGGACCCCAGTTGTCCAAGTTACAGTATATATGGACTGTCAGGGTTTGTTTGCATTCTTGTTTTCATTTTGGAGCAGGTCTAACTGTCTTCTGGAGACAATCCTCACGTCTCCTTCAGATCAGGAGTGCAAATAATGAAAGCAATTCATGATTTCACTAAAGCGATTCATGAGCACCCTTTACCAGCAGAGAGCAAATGGCAGCTTGACCTTTAACAAATGATTGTCACTGCCCTTCAGGGATCTGGCATACTCATGCATGGGTCACATGCACAGTTTTACTAGTGAAACATGTCAAAATGAATGAGAGAACTTGATTTTATTACAATGTTCATTTGGCAGATGTTTTTCTAAAACTGACGATACGTGTGTTCAAACTGTTTTAATGAGCAAGAGACAGTCTCATATTGCAAATTGCAGCCTCAGTGTTTAAGGTCTCATTTTTTGAAAAACTGTAAAATCATTTTGCCAAATTTCGTCATGGTTTCCATTTTGGATTTGGGACCCGTGAAGTCTGAACAACCTCCTGACATGTTTAGCCCGTGTCAAACGCTAAGATTGACCAACTTTCTTATTTTAAGTAAGTACAGTAAGTATTTGAGCATGTGAAATGATCAAATAGCAGCTGATACTCTGTCAGCCCTTTAAAGCTCCAGTGTTCATTTCTGGAAAACAAAATCACTGGATGGAAGAAAAATAAATAATAAATATCCTATTCTAATGGGATAAACCTGTAATGTTTGGGCTAAGTGGCGCAGCGGTGGAGTGGCCATGTTGTTACCTACAGTATATTAACAAGGTTTATCCTTTGTACAGTGGCAAACCATTGGACATTTCAGGCTCAGTATGTCACTTAGGCACGGTGTTAGACATCTAGCATTTAACATGTAGTATATTGTCTTATTAGCATGCCACACTGTCACAAGATTTGAGCCTTTTTGTCAGATTATTCGTAAATAACATAATTATCCATATTCAGTTTTTGATCCAAAATGTTTTTTTAAACACCACCTGTCTCATTCCTCTTCTAGTTTGGCAGGACAGAAGTCATAGATAACACCCTCAATCCTGACTTTGTCCGCAAATTCATCCTGGACTATTTCTTTGAGGAGAGGCAGAATCTACGCTTTGACTTGTGAGTTAACAATTACGTGAGTTCATGTTTGTTTTTGTGTACTTGTGTGTGATCTGCAGGCATGAACTGCTCTGTGCAGAGCAAAGTTAAGACTGAAATATTCATGTGCCTGTGCACAGGGAGAGGTGCATCTTCTCTGTTTTAAATAAAAAGTTTTCATGGTGCCACTTTTTCACCAAATTCTTCCCATTCATACGGTGCTTAGAGATAAAATAGGATCAGATTCACACAGCTAATCATACACTTGGCATTTTGCAATAATTATGATTCATTTTATGTACTGGTTGTTTGTCTTCACAGTTGGATATTAGTGGAATCAGAAAACTGACCATTTCAAAACTTGAAATAAATAAATGAATAAACCAAATAAAGTAACAAATGACCTCCTTTCAAGAGCAGATGCAGGAGATTGTTCAGTCCTTTTAGACTGAAGTGCAGGCCTTGACACAGTTGATCATACAATTTTAAATGACCGCCTTAAGCAGTGGGTAGGTAGGTATCTCTGGGTTAGTACAGAGTTTTTTTCAGGCCCGACCACTCAAACAAAATGCCGTCAGCAGAGGGCAAATGCAGGCTGATCACGCTGGAAACTGGCCAATTACGATCTCTGCTGATCGGTCTGTGCATCTCTAATTTAGAGCAAACTGTTTAAGTGTTGGATTTGGTGCAGAAGGTTTTTGTCTTGGACAAAGCTCTCAAAAAATTTGAGCTGCAACAAGTATTTTGCATGGAAAGTTTTTAATAAAGACATAAAAATTAAATCATAATTAACTCAACAAAACCTTTAATATAGTACATAAGGTGGGGTTAGGTGTGGTGGAGAGAGCTAAAGCATTAAATAGCGGTGGGATGAAGAATCAGAGTAAAATTAAAAATGACCACTTGCACGAATATGGTTGGACATGACTTCTCAGCTGGTAGCCAAGTGCTGAAGCTTAGATGAAGGAGCTTGCGCTGATTAGCTAATCCCAGGGTTATTTAGGAAGTGAACCTTAATGGAGACAGCAGGCGAGGAGATAAGGGTGAAGGGGATTTAATATCAACAAAGGCTACAAGAACAAGGCATAGCAGTGGCAGAATTAACAAAAACAAGACAAAGAACGTAGATGAGCCTAAGCAGGACTAACTACAGAATATGCATACAAACATAAGGGGATTAAGCAAGCCTAACAATACAGGAAGTCCAGAGTCCTTACATGAACGCAAGGGCACAGAATGTTTACTAAACGCTTAATGAGGAGAAGAGTCTTATCCTAGGCCTGTGCTCTCTATTTTTTACAATAAGTCACTGAGGTTGTGTTAATTGGTTGCTAAAATGGCAGCAATGCTGTTTACTGGTTGGAAAGATGGTGAACTGGGATGTGATGTGACTGACAGTTAGAAAATTGTCCTGATTGGTGGACTGGGTCAGGTTTGTTGAGACTGACAGATTTCCTGATTGTAGCTAATAATAGAACATTTACATGTTGTCTTGTTTGTATCAGACACACCCGTGTTTTGAGTCACTTTGTTGGTAAAGGTGAAAGTCGTATTTGCTCATGTAGCCCTAAAAGTCAAGCTGTCCAGGTGATTACGATATTCTGGAATTTTCTCTGTTGTGTTTCAGCCTCACACACAGTAACTTTATTTTCTCGTGATAGCTCATGAAATATGGAACGGCTCTTTTGTTTGTTTACTTGTTGGCCTGTCAGCAGGGCCGCATGCTGCTTACAAGCTGTGGGAGGTTACAGTGAAGGTCAAGGAGAGACGCTAGTGTGTGTGCGTGTGTGTGGCGTCAGTGCATGTGCAGGCAGTGTATTGGATTAAAGCTGCATATAAGTCTCTCAGATAAGGTGTGTAGACTTATAAGCATGTGTGTTCAGGTTTTTGTTTGTACTTTTAGGGAAGTACAACGCGTGAAAGTGTAATATTTGGGTGTGTGCATATGATTGTCATCATATGCATGTGTATATATGTGTGTGCGTGTGTGTTTTCTATGTGTGTGAGCATGCATGCCTGTGTGCTTGGCAAGTATGAATCACTGGTGTGATATTTTGTATATACGAGTTTGTGTGTGGGATTTTATTGTGTGTGTTTGACCATCTGCGTAGTGCAGATTCATCATGCAAGATGTTAAAAGCTGACAAACAGTGGAGGGAGTGGATGGAGGATGATGGAGTGTGTGTGTGTGTGTGTGTGTGTGTGTGTGTGTGTGTGTGTGTGTGTGTAGCTAGCCTGACTCCCAGTAGGTCTCGTTGTGACTGGGTGAGCATTAGGCCTTGTTATGGTTGTCGGGCCTAATGGCCCTGTGGTTACTCACAGCAAGGATGTGGCTGCTGCTGAAGCATCCCTCAAAGCCATGACACACTTTGCTTCCTCTGCTGCTATCTGTGCCTGGAAATGCTGCTAACGCTCATCTCACCTCTGGCCATCTTCAGCGCTCCTCTTAGTTTTTTTTTTTTTTTTAATACTTGAGCTCTTCACAGAAGTCGCTAGAAACCCCCAGGTGGTTGTGTGGCAAATTGGATCAGATCTTTAAAAAATGAAGAGAAATACCCACCAAAAAGGACTAAAAGGACTGCCTGTTCTCTGCACCTCCATCACTGTCTGGTTTGGCTCAGCAACCAAACTGGACAAGTACAGACTTCAGTGGACAGTCAGGACTGCAGAAAAGGTCATTGGTGTGAGCCTGCCCTCCATGGAGGACCTGTACACCTCACAGGTCAAAAGGAGGGTGGAGAGGATCACTGGATCACTGCAGACCCCTCACACCCCGGATACAATCTGTTTGAACTCCTCCCCTCTGGACGGTGTTACAGGTCACTGTGCACCAAGACAACCAGGCACAAGGACAGTTTCTTCCCCCAGGACGTCGCTCTGATGAACACGTGACCCATGACAGTATGATTGGACAATAAACCTCAGTGCAATACCTGTAAATATACCTCGTACAGATTATACAGATTTGTACAGGTCTCTAGTTTTAAGTACTCTGTTTTATCCCTAATTATCTCATTCCAATGAACATTCCTTTGTTGTCTGCATTGTTAACTGTCTGTTTATACTGCTTTTTCTGCATTGTTTGGTTGTTGATGTTAATACTGCTATTTTGTTATATTACACAGCCTTATGCTGATTCTGATTCTAAAAAAATATATTAAGTTTATTTCCTCTGGAGTAGGAAATCAAAATCTGTTCTCAACTGAAACATTCCTAAAACCGTTATGGAGCTCGTGTGTCAGTGTGCTGTTGCCTGTTGTTTGACTGCCTCTTCAGCCGTTAGTCATCATCTCTCAGTTCAATTCAAACAGAGCTCTGAGCAGACGCTCCCGGCAAGACAGACAGCACAGGACCAAGAGAGGTCCTGTCTGGTCCAGTGCCATTGCACAGTGATGCCATCCACATAAACACACACATATTAAGTCACACATAGCAAATGTGCACTCATGAGGCTCCGTGGGGCCTCTACTTCCTGTTTTGGTAAACATGTGCATCCAAATCATCATACTGTACATCAGTACTATGTTTTCTCCCCCTCCTTCCACTTTAAGTCTGGCATTATTAAATAAATAGTTTATGAACATTTGGGAGCAACAGAGTCAACATGAAGCGCACCTGTACATTTTCTAGGCAGCATGTTGCCTAACAGCAGTGCATTACCTTGCTCTTATGGAACTACAGTAGTAACAGCACTGCAGTGGTGCCCCCTCCTGTAGTGACACACAGCATCTCCCAGCTTTGTCAGCAGATGCCTTATCTTACATGGCATGCTGTCTATAGAAAGAACACACAGGTTCAGCTTGAGGTTACATTAGCCTCTAATATGATAACACACTTGTATCATCTACCAAACTGTTTGGGGTTGAATTGCATTGTGGGTAATGTAGGCACCAGGTTTTGAAAAAGAAGAATGCATGTAATAAAAAAGATGACATCTTTGGCTGTGCTGCATTGACTTTTTTTAATTGGATCTTTGTCTCCAATCTAGTTTTCTTATTAAAATTCCATATGCTACTGCAGTGTTTTAAATTATACTACAGTGTTTGATCTGGTTAATTATTCTTTTACCTGTCTTATTCTTTATATATCTTTTATGTAAATGGTAAAACATCAACGGTTGTCATTGGGTGTGAACAGCTGCTACTGAAACATCAATGCTTTAAACTGGAAAAATTGCTGGGTAAAGTGTTAAGCTTTTCGTCTGACAGCCAGTAATGATCCTGAGGCCACTGACGCTGCTATACGGCCATGCATGAAATAGGATTAGCAGAGCTTTTGGTGCCGTAACCAGAAGCTTTAAACCTGAACAGCTTCTTTGAGGTGATTATTGAGCGGTACCTTGCATTAATAGTGACGAGGTAAATAAATGTGTCATAGACTGCTAATTTGTGTTTTGGCAGCCTTTCAGTCACAGACCTGCTGCTCAAACCTTTCAGCCCATTACGGTTTCTGTTCTCATGTTTTACCTCTTCTCTCCTCTCTAGATATGATTTAGACTGCAAGAGCGACAACCTCTCTAAACACGTGAGTGTCTTCTTCACCTCAGCTGTTCAATAATCAGTCATGCATTCATGGAAATATTATACAGCCAAATGTTTACCCTTCCATTACAATGGCAGCCTGATTTGAATCTGAATGTCAGAGGTGACAGTGACGTAACAGGAACAAAGGAACCATGTAAACTCTCCTGAAGAAAATACTCAGGGTTTTCTGACCAAAGACATTCATTGTGACTTTTTACACCATGAAATCTATCTGAGACATGTTTCTCACACTATAGGTGTGGACGTGCTTTGTTTGTAGAAAAACCAGTATGTGCAAATTACAAAGCAACACATGGTTAATATCACTTAGAATGACTTATGTTTTTAATATAATTTCTTTGGTTACTTGTTTTGTTATTAAGGAGTTTAACTATTTTAAAAATAAACTTGTGGTTGCCTTTATTATTTCCAGTGTGGACTCTCCTCAAAAGTGGTGAAATTAACATTTATAGACATTTGTCTTTATAGATAAATATCACATTTAACAAAACTCGGTCTACAGCCATAAGAAAAGCAACATATCCTCACATTCTGACACCTGGCTGCACAGTGTTTGCTCCAAAGCATGTTTGCTGTTTTAAATTAGAAGGATATGAAAGTAATTTCAAGCAGACAGGGTTGGAGATTAAATCATTATATTATGGTATTATGTTATTGTTGTCAGTTAATTTTCCATCAGTTGACTCATCAGCACTACTTTATGTCGGCCATCTGGTTAAAACGTGCTTTATGAAGAGACAGTGACAACAAGAGGAAGAAAAAGAACATCTACAATCTGACAGGGTTTTTCCAAGTCTAAATCACTTAAATTTCAGAGATAACTGTCAGCGCACAGGCTTTAGTAATCAGCTTTGTTATGTCTTATCAAAAGCCTGTTTAGTTTTGCCTATGCTTTTTTCTCATGAGGGTGCAGCTTTGCAAATGGAGAACATCCTGCCACTGCTGCTGAAGGATTGCATGTTCTAGTTATCCCACAGCACTAATCAGTCTGCCTTAAAACACATAACTTTCACACCCCTACAGCCCCATTCTTCACTCTTCTTTCAGTACACGGTTTCAATAGCGCCCTACTGCAGTTTTGTCTATTACTCGAGCTCTATCTCCACAGCCAGCTTCTCTCCTATTGCCCATCATCATGCTCATTGCCAACTGCAAGCTGAGTCTTCTCCCTCAACCCAAACCTCAGCGTGCCCCCGGGCTTCTACTGAGAATGCTGAGCATGTGAGCACAGCGACTCACTCGCAGCGTGACAACTGAGGACGCTTGGATGCATCCTGTCATCGCTGTGGATGTGTGGGATTGGAGATGTGGCACGCAGTGATGCTCCACTGTCCAGGCGCAGTCTGTCCCCAGTCACATAGCTATAAATAACTGAAAAAATGTACACAAGTACAGTATCTCTCTTAGCAGCTTCACTGCTATAGGGATTGTGGATGCATCCTTCCTCCCATCACAGCAGATGTTTTTGCTCTGCCATATGGTTTGCATCCATTGTGCAGATATGGCTGCAGGGGGAGATGTGTAGAAAGAGATTAAAGCAAAATCTAATGAAGGGCTGGGTATCCTGTTTCCTGCAGATGAAGTCAGTGTTACTTTTTTTTATCCTGACAGATGCTTGTCACAGCCCTGTTCAAAATTCTTTATTATACTTCTTTTGATTTTTGTGATAAAATGCACCAATATCCTTCTCACAAATTCACATCTCATTTTACTTTATATTCATTATTTTAAACTCGGCGATCCCAGCAGGGAAGTAGCTTCGTTGTAGGCAGTAATTAAGTTAACTGGCTGTGTGGGAGCAGGCAGGATTTTACTACAAACTTTTAATCCCCTTATTAAACTTAGTATTGCTAGAAAAGCACATATTTCCTGTGTTTTTCTTCTAACCTTAACCCTAGGTTTTTTGTGCCATATTTGTTATTCTTAAACTGTTTGAAGTTGCAGAGTAAGAAAGATTTCCCTGACTGCACTAGATTTGAACTCAAGACAGTACTGTACTGACAGTACAGGACGTGGACTTGTCTTGAAACTGTTATTCCCAATCCAAGGTTCAAAACCTCTCTCAGGGATCTGAACATGAATGTTGGGGATTATGAGATGATGCTACACAAATTTAGACAAAGTTTTCAGACCTTGTTGTTCTTGTGAAATGTTCAACATGTTTTGGTATAGAGTCAGAGTGGAAGAGTTACTCATTATGATTGATGAAATGTTTTAGTGACAAATAACAGAAATATAAGAATCTGAACCATGTGGAAAAATATTGGAATTTCCCTTTACCTCACTGCAGCACTCGGACAGTTTTGGAGGCCTAATGGTCAGAGTGAAGCAGGAATATAGGACTGGTAGAATTCAGCTGTGATCTTTGTTGCTCAGAGACGCCCTCCTTGCCATTGACTTCCTGCCACCACTGAGCCAGTTACTCTGAGGTGCCTCAGCCTGTAGCCTTGTAGAGGTCTGAGGCACAGCGGGTATTGGGCTGGGGCAGCAAGCAGGCAGCACACTTCCTATGGAAAGGCCACAGTGTTTTTGTCATCTCTTTTTAGTTCGAGATCTCGGCTGGGGGAGAAATTTGCTCAGCACCGGCAAAAATCTGAGGAGCAGCTTTCTACCCGCTGGGCTCAACACGGCTCATCTGTCAAGAACTTTTACACACACATAACATGCACAAAGCACACATGCATACACAATCTAGTTGGGGCTACCTCAGTCCAGGCCTGACTTTTTAATTCCCCCTTCCCTCTCTGTGCTTAGCTTTTCTTGCTGCTCCACAAACTCCTCAAACACAGACCTTTCTCAGTGGAGTGTTGTCACCCTGCAGTGATCAACACACTGCACTCAGATGTCAGTGTGCAAAATGTGCAAGGAAAATAGAATGGGAGCTGTTCGGTATTAAATCCATTTTGAAGCTTTAATATTACAACACCTAAACTGAATGCAGCCTGAAGAAGTTCTTGCACAAACTGAGCAGTTTTTCTTTCTTGTAAAATTCTACAGCTTTCTCTTCTTTTTTACGTTTCTGCTAACCTGTGTGTTGACTGATCACTTGCTCTAACAGGAGCAACAGCCAAACACATGACTGCCTAGTTTGTAGATATTGTGATGATAAGTAGCAGGTTACAACTAATAGTTATTATACACTTTAATTGGTAGTTTTCTTTAAATCATCAGTGGTTTCTGGGAATCCCTGTCAAGTTTTAGCTGTAATAAGCAACATTTTTCTCCAGAGCAGCTTTGCTGTAGTTAAACTTTTTCCAGTGTGAATAGTTAATAGTAATTAATAGTGCTTTAGGTCTTAGAAGTGAACTGTGCATGTTAAATAAAGAAACATGAAGGAAATTGTACATTATAGCTGTGCTTTTCACCCTGTGGGTTTCTCGGTTTTGGTTTCATGTGTTTACTTGTGTTTTTCACACATGTAGGACTTCCTGGGCCAGGCTTTCTGTACTCTGGGTGAAATAGTCGGCTCCCTGGGAAGCCGCTTGGAAAAGCCTTTAATGTAAGTAGCACGTTACCATGCACACACATGCACAAACAAACAAATATACAGACATGCAGAATATGTCTTTTCCTATTTATATTAGAGACTCATAATTAAAAGCAAAGGGGCAAAAAGTTATTTTTTTCTTACACTAATTAGGAAGTCACTAATTAGTGTAAGAAAAAGTGGCACAAAAAACTGTTTGAGCTCACAGTTTGATTTTTGATTCTTTTACATTTAGTGCTTTGAATTGAAAATCAGCAAGTGATTTTAGGATCACTTGTTTGTCTTTGAAGTGAAGCGAGGCAGGGGCATGAAAATGGGCTAAGATGCTGATGAAAGCACACACTGACTCCATCAGCCAAATGAGATGAATAGTTAAACAGCAGCCGGCCTAATGGCAGACTGTAAACATGCTGAGATGGTAAACACTGTGCAGTGAAAGGGACAGTTCACCCAATGGGAAGATGTCACTGGTAACTTCCCAGCTTGTTTTCTGAAGGAGCCTAAACTGAGCTGAAGCTTAAAGAAATAATCAGGGACATTGTTATATGAATAAATGTCTGAATTTATTCTTTGTTTCTAATTAATATAAGAAAATAGCATTTAAACTTATCAGCAGCTCAGACTTCCTCCTCTCACTCTTCCCATGTCTTCATTTACTTAGCAAAATCAGCTTTTTAAAATGGATGAAAAAATCCACAAAAATGATCTGATTTGTTTGGCATAAACAGAGTAAGATGCCTAAATGCCAGAAGAGACAAAGAAGTGTGTTACCCGCAGAAATGCAAATGTCATCAGCCAATGGCTTGATGTTACAAAATAACAGATTAAAATTGGCAATTACCCGAAGTAGAGGTGAAAACACTTTCTCAGTACTGACTGAAATGTCAGTAGTGCTATGTATTAAAATCTGTCTACTAGGTCGGCACTGAAGACTTTAGAATCTCGGTCCTGTTTATTTGGTGCATATTTGTGTAGCAGAATGTTTAGTCCAAAAATTTGTAATGTGATAAACAATAACACAAGTATTATTTCACGTGTTTCTAATAGGGCTGTGCTCTCACGCTGCTCTGAAGTCTTTGTCACTGAAGAACAACTGTTGTCAAAAAACAGGGCTGTGCGAAGTTGTTTGTGCTGAATGGCATCTTTATGATATGGTAAATGTACAGCTCTTTTTTCTTTTACTGGGGAGTCCTGTATTTAGCAGAAGCAAAATGATGCCATATTCTTCAGCAGCAAAGTTTGTTTCTACTGGGTAAATCATGTGACCTGTGACTTGACTTTAGGGTTAAAGTTAGGCCGAGGTTAGCTTAGAATTAGGACAAGAGTTGAGAATTTAATTATGATAGGGCGGAGGGCTAGGGAGGGCGGTATAGAAATAAGTGTCCTTGTAAATATTCAGAAGCGTAACACTATGTGAGAGAGATCCAAGAAGGTAGAGAAAGAAGTGAGATGGAAGTAAGTGACTGTTAGGCATCTACATCCATGCCTGTCTGTTTGTTTCTGTCTGTGTGTGTCTGTGTGTGTGTGTGTGTGTGTGAGGCAGAATCAATAAGCAGCTCAATGGGTCTGCTGAAGAAATATGATGTAAGAATGTGTCGCTGTTGCTGAGTTATGTAATCACCTCTGCCTACAGTCATTCCCTGTTTGTCACAGTGTCTCAGATCTTGTCTGTCTGTGTGTGTGTGTGTGTGTGTGTGTGTGTGTGTGTGTGTGTGTGTGCGTGCATACCCTCATGTTTCGGTTTTTGATATGTGAAGATATTTTTAGATGTTCTGCTTTATCCTGTGATGCTGGTTTGTAAGTTTGCATAACTACTGTATATGTGTGTTTGTTTTTGTTCTCACCCAACTGCCTCCAAGTGAAGCATCACACGTCTGCTCAGTTGAGTGGAGGCGAATCACACTAATAAAGATCAAGAATGACAACTGAGATGACACTGTGCTCCAGACATACACAGCACGATGTCATTGCAAGATTATGGCACATTCTGACATAAATTAACTTCAATGAATAAGATAATATTTTACACCCCAGTCTGTCTCTCCGAAATCAGCCGTAAAGTTGCTTTTGTTTCTGATTTTGGTTAACTCTTCAATTTTAGGTAACAATTTCAACAGTAACCAAAATATATTTGTTAGTTTTTGGCAGAGCTGAATCAGGTGCAAATGTATGACTTTTAAATGGCTTTGTGAGATCTTAAATATTTGTGCTATTGCCTCATGAACAAAGGGCATCATTTAGTTTTTGGTTTTTAAATCTATTTGCACATTTCATTATGGTTAAGATCTTATTAATGTCAGGGAAAGATCATCGTTAAAATGTACAACCACAGGGTACTGTAGGTGATCTAAGCAATCAGATGCCTGGACAACCTCTAAAGCAGTGGTCGTCAGCTGGTGGACTACCATCTGGGTTTGGACCCAAAAAGGTCTGCAAAGTGTTTCACATGAAAATAATTATAAGCCTGATTTTGATGAGATATTTTAACAGGCACAGTGTGGCCAGCTCGATTGCGGCGTCTTACTATCCAGTCTCATCCTTCTATTTCTCCCTCTCTTTGCGTGACTAGCCATGTCTTTCTTGTTCCCACATGCCTCTCTCTCTCCCTCTCTCTCTCTCAGCCATTTTCCATCTCTGAGTGATTAATTTCACTGAACGCTTCCCTGTGCATCAAAGGACGGTGGTGTGTCTCTGGTGACGGGGAGGGAGTTTCAAAGCCTTGCTTCAATTTGCCATCAGTATCTCACACTTGTTATTGTGGACTATCTCTGGACTGGACAGTACATAGCCAAATGAAATTATCTCTGCCCTTCATTGTTCTGAATCAGGCCTGTGGTGTGTGGCTTTCATTTGGTCTATTTTTAGTGGTCAGTCTCTCTCAGCTTCATTGGCTGAATATTACACTGTGCCAGCTCAGGATGTAAAGAAACACTGGAGCTGGAAATTCACTATCTGATGCTCATTTTTAAGGTTTTTTCATTTGCTTTCATTAATATTTATTTAGACAATCAAACAACAGGTTTGATGGGGTCTGCAGAGGTCTCGGTTGATGGGATTTTACATTTTGTTTTTTCTGAGTTTTCACATTAAACTGAAACTTTACCAGCAGAATAATGTGACATTGTCAAAGATCTTGATTGTAATGATCAGAAATACTTTAATTATTCTGAAACTGTCTGGTGGATGAATGTTGCATAAAGAAAAAGATGCAAGAACCACCTCATTGGTATAGATTAGATTAAATTCAGTGTCAGTACAGTAAAATGCAGTTTAGCATCTAAACATAGCTCAGATGTCAAGACTGTAGACACACTGTGTATATAAAGTTGAACAAATGATACTATGACGTGTAGAATAAACAACAAACAGTGCAGCATGTACAGTAGATTAATGTAATTTTGATACAGTTCATATACTATAAACATCATGAAGTGCTGTGTCATCAAACATTGTTAGTGCAAAGAGTCCTTACACGACCCAGGCAGATTTTCCTTGTAACATTGTGACTATTGCTACAGTACCTCTCCCACTGCATGAAGCTTATGGATACTTGGATTTAATGGAAATATTCTGTTTTTGTTTTCTATTTCTTCTAGTGGAATCCCAGGGAGGAAATGTGGCACCATCATAGTCAGAGCAGAAGAGCTGAGCAACTGCAGAGTGAGTGCTTGTTGTTTTCAGTAGAAATGTCCAATTTTCCACAAATTTGTGTTTATTATATCTTCCAAATCTGACTCCTCTGGTGCCCTTCGCAGTTTAAAAACTCAAAATTATGTGACCGAAGTGTGGTTGTAATAAGGAGATTTTTACAAACGCACAGATGCTTACAGGCAGCAATATGGTAAATGCACCTATTTGGCAGTTTATTAGGTACAGTAGCTGTACTGTAGCTCAAACTAACGCTGGCTAATATAACAACCCTCCAATGAATTCTCCCTTCACCCCATTTATGCCAATGAGCATGGACAGAATATTAGGAATACCTCTCAATAAATACAGTACAGCTTCAACATCAAGTTGAATCAGCTCCTTCCTCAAACACTTTCAAAAAGCACTGAACATTTTACACTTCATGAATGTAGGATTTATTGCAGCACACATTCTCTTCACACTTTATTTCAATGACACTGCTTAAAGAACTCAACAAAGATATTATTTGTTAGACATCACTGTTGCTATGATACCAGAAATTTGACTTCAATTAGAGAACTAAGCATGTTATCTAAAAGTGTATTTCCTAAAAATATCACAGTAGCCGCATCAAGCACTATCACTATCTGTACTTTATCTTTGACAAATTATGGTACTTTCCCCCACCACAATATCTGTATTGTTTTTACCGTTTATATTAACATGAACATTTACCACTTAGACAAGTCCAACATAAAAAACATACCATCCAAAGAAAAAGAATTAAAAATAAGCTAGATAATGTTGTGCAGACATTTCTTTACTGCAATGCTTCATCCACATAGCATCCTTAACATATTGGATAGGTTTAACACAACAGGAGATATAACCATTAAAGTAAAAAAAACCATTAAAATAAAAAGTTATCTGGCCATCCACACAAACCAGACACTCATGTCACTCCTCACTTTCCATCTACATCCATCGACTGTTCCTAAAACAGACAGGGGAGGTATAGATAGAGACTGATTTTGAAATGACCTAATGAAATTTCTCAGCAGTAAATATTTATAGAAATACTTCCATGGAATATCATATTTATTCACCAATTCTTCAAATGACCACTTTCAGACACATATAAATCCTTTATACTCTTTCCAGCCAAGATCTTAAAATCTAAATCTGCTCTTCCTGGAGGGAAGAAATGATTACCCCATACTGGACTAAAGCGTGATATGGAAGAGGTATCTCTCAAATACTTAGAAGCACTATACCAGACTGTAATAATATTTCTTGATATAGGATTTTTTTTGTATTCCTTTTCAGTAATTTACCATTCATGGCATGTAAATACTGACATACAGGCAGAATAGAGCAGTTTTCTATCTGCTTCCAAGAGGGAAAGGGCTCATCCAAAAAGTGAAATTATGGTACATTTATTTTGACAAATCTGTAGTAACTTTTGCACATTGCTTTATTTCTGTTGGCTCTGTAGGTACAAACCTCGTTTCTTTCAAAGGGAAAAAACTCACCCTAAACATTTGGACACTGTTAGAAAAAAACAGCTATTTCTAAAAAGGTACCTTGCCATTCTGGGCCCCTCTTGCTGTTTGGTTGTGTTTGGCAACGTGTAGATGCATCACTTCACAGCGAGGCCACAGTGGAGTGTGATAGCACACCATTTTGTTATAGGTCAAAACATCAAACCGTAAATGTCATATTTTTGTGTCAGTAATTCAAAGTCCACCAGCAAGGGCGCCAAGCTGTCATTTTGCACCAAATGTACTGCAGCCATTTGAGAAGTTGGCCAACTCTCTGTGCTGTTTCTTCCAATTAACATAACAGCAAAATGAAGCAAGCTAAAAAAAGCTTCCAAAGGCATCCAGGGAAGCAAGGGAAATCGCTTATTTAAGAACTAGAACTGAGGAAAATTCATTATACCAAAACCTTAATGAAAGACTTGACCCCTACTCATTAGATATACCGTATGTTGCCCTTACACTAGAAGACTGTGATAAGTTCTTAGTCATAAACTATGATTTTGCAAAGACTGGGGATTGTGCATGGTCACTATTTGTAAGACTGCAACTAGCTTTCTCTGGAGACTACTTCACATATGCTCCTGCATTTCGCTACAGCTCTGCTTGTGTGTGCAGTGTTTTGCTTGGAAAAAAACATCTGAAAAATAAAAAGAGAAGTCATCGCTGAATGTGGACACGACCCTGTTTGACTGAAAGGGGACAGTGAGGTCTGTCCATGTTTTCTCTTTCCCCACTCTGTCGCGGTACAAATTGGATGACATGTCAAGCAGACACTCTTGCTCACTCCACAACTCCACCAGTCCTCCTTTGTAATGGCACAACAGAACCATGCATTCTGAGTCCTCGCCGGAGTCACCACCATATTTACCTTTGTTTTTGTGCCTGATATGCTGCTTCCTGTTTGGCGCTTGAGAGAGCTCACCTATTGGTTGTTTATGGTGTTCATGTCACTGTCTGCATGAGCCAAGACTAAAGACTTAGGATAATATTAAACATGGTTGATCTTAACAGAACATCAAGACAAGAAAGAGACCTAAAACAGCTCAGATTGCCACCTTACACCACACGATTGAGGTAACACGACGTGACAGTAGCAAGACTCTCTTGACTTTATTCCAATGTTGGAAATCTGTCTGTGACACAAAATCACTTGAAAAGTTTTTAGGTGTAAGGTCGGCTTAAGAAAATATCAAAAACCACACAAGTACAATGTGCTCTATTTGTTTCATTAACAGTAAAGTAATATTGAAATTGTGCTACATTTAGGTGATAGTCCAGAAATCATAAATCATTTATTTTTTTCACTTTTGATTATTCTCCAACTGTATTTTGGTTTTACTTCTTCTCTTTATGCTGCAGTCATTGTTTAGGACCTGAGGCTGTGTAGCACATATGTACATTGTTTCCATCTATTCCTCAGGAGTCAGTGATGCTCCAGTTTTGTGGCAACAAGCTGGATAAGAAGGACTTCTTTGGAAAGTCTGATCCTTTTCTTGTCTTTTACCGCAGCAACGAAGATGGATCGTAAGTTGACACGCGGCTTCCTCGTGGTATTTGATGAATTAACAGAAGCAGCTGTCTGGCTTTTACACACAAAAATATACATATACAGCATGTAAAGTGCCTGTGATGCATACAAGCTGTGAGTGTTTATGCTCCAATACAGAAGATATAAGGTCTAAGTGGTGTTACATAATGCTACAGTATGTGACTTGTGTTGTCTAGCTGTCAACAAAGCAACAGACGGAGGGGTGACTCAACATAATAGGGAAGAGATAACAAGGAAAACAAAGGCAGAAAGGTTGGATAAGACAGAGTTAAGTGAACACTGTGTGGAGGTCACATGTTCTTTGCCTTGCGTGCTTTTATTTAAATCTACTTCAGCATCTCACACTTAACACATTGTGTTTTTGTGCAGCGGGGTTTTTTTCTGATGCATCCTAAATGTTCAGCCACAGGATATAACGGTGGCACAGCGCAGCTACAAAGAGCCAGACTAGTTGGCACATAAAAAAGCACTGGAAGCAGTTATTTTAGCCGAGGATTGAGTTTTATGCAATACTTTTAAAATTACACTCCTCTTATTATCAAAGAGGAGAAGTGCGCACCAGGTTTTTGCTTTTAGCTTTAAGGTAGATTTGTCATCTGCTAACAGTGTTGTATGTCTGACAGGTATACCATCTGCCACAAAACAGAAGTGGTGAAGAATACTCTGGATCCTGTGTGGCAGGCTTTTAAAATCCCTGTCAGGGCACTGTGCAACGGGGACTATGACAGGTACGGTCGGTGACAGTGGGGATTGCACAAGCTGAAATACAGAAATTCTGTAAGCACAAGAATGAACAGCAGGTAGACCATCACATTAGATTTGATTTTACAAGAAGAGAAAAACCTTTTGATATTTCAGTACCTGACATACAGATGAGTGAAGAAGGAACCTGAATGGTTGACAGTGATGGGGGGGGGCATTCTGCTGGCATGGTTTGGGTCCACTTTATGTTCATTATGTGGAATGGTACATTTCACGTAAATGTATATCATATTGCTAATTATTGATGCATTATTGTGTACATCACATTTAATGTTGCAGCTGGTGAAGGTAGAGCTAATCTGAGTTACTGCTGGGTAGCTTGTGAATTTCCCACAGGGGTCACTGAAGCCTGGTGATTATACTGTGTTCAGTTTTATTCTCCTGGTTCTGAAAAGTAATTGAAGTTATCAAATAAATGCAGTGAAGTAAAAAGTGCAATATTTGCCTCTAAATAGTCAAATTATGAGGAGGCAGAAAATGAAAATACTCAAGTATAGATACCTCAAAATTGTGATTAAGCACTTGAGTAAATGTACTTAGCTACTTTCCACCACTGGTGAACAGTGACAAAAGACTCACTGGTGATGTCATCCTAAAACAGGATTAGATTAGAGGACTGAGCGACCTTCATGGTGGTGTGTGTGTACTGATAATGACCTTCAAAAAAACATTCTGCATCTCATCTGAATGGAAGCCCATCCTTCCACAGCAGTGGTGCTAATTATTTTTAAAGGGATTTCCTTCTCTCTCTCTCTCTCTCCCTCTCCTCTTTCCCAACAGGAGCATTAAGGTGGAGGTGTATGACTGGGATAGAGATGGAGGGTGAGGGAACAGCGCTCTTTTTGTCTCCATGCATCAACTAAAGTGTCTGTACTACAGTACATTAGTGATAGGAGGCTCCATCTATCTACACAATATTGTTTTATTGACATCCTGCTGTAAAAGATACCTGTACACCGGTGCAACAAGGCCACGGGGTGCAGTAAATGTATTCATTATCTACTATATGAGCCATATATTGTGGTAATCAGACTGTTCTTTATTATTCCTCCATGCCATTTAAAAAGACTTTTTGCCTGATGACGTTAATATTTTAAGCTCCTAAAAAACAAAAACTGCCCTCATAAAGAGCATGAGTTTGAAATTACACATTTGGGATTATGGCCACAGATCACACTCTTGTTTTTCGCAATTATAGGGAATAGTGAAGAAGAAATATCACTAGCTAGCTTTTCCTGTGACGACACTCCCTGCTGCTTTAAATATATATACATGAACTATTAATCCTGCTTGAACGGTCCCTTGACAGGTAACTTCATATAGTCAGTCCCAGAACAGAGATTGACGTAGTGTTTATCTTCTGAGGCATGTGAAATCACACTAATCATCAGCACAGTTTGCCCCTTGACTGTTAATTTCATAGTCAGTTTTTGACATTTCAAGGACATTTTACCCTGAGTGCCCATTAATTTCTGACCCTGATTCCAACTGTGCTGATTAACCCCATGAAATTTTGAAAATGTTTACTATGCCCACACCTCCAGTAACGTGTGATTTTCCTGTACTTTGAAGATTTTACAGACTGTGTGGATACACGACAGAGAAGAGAATAAAGGAAGATTCCGGAGATATTTTTACCGTTTAGCTTCTTCTGACAGTACTTTTCAGAACACGTGAGAAAGTAGAAATCTGTCTCTGTTTTTACAGCCACGACTTTATTGGAGAGTTCAGCACCAGCTACAGAGAAATGTCCAGAAGCCAGTCACAGTTCCATGTCTATGAGGTGATTTTCTACACACACACACACACACACACACACACACACACACACATGCATTTATGCTTTGAAGGAGTCATTATTTTCTAGTCCCTAGCTATGACTCTAACCTGACATTAATTCAAATTTAAACCCTAAAACCAAGTCTCAGACAACTTTTGAAGAAGTGAGGACCAGCAAATTGGTCTGTGCATCAGAGAGCTGTAAAAGTAGTTCAACTTTAGAGAAGACACAGGCAGGAAAACCCATCAAACAGCAAAAGGCAACAAAAAAGATGTCCAAAATATTCATTCAGAGTTGAGTTGAGCTGCAGACCCAGGCTTTATTAGTGTTAGTAGAAATAAACTCAAATGGGGAGAAGCTGTAGAACTTCAGCAATGTAGTAATAAAGGCAGTGGTTGAGAAAACGCCATTGTTGAACCTTTGTTGGTGCTTCATTAAGATAACTTGACTCAAGCTGTGACCTGGTTCTGCTTCTAAATGTTGATATTCTGCCAAGCAAATGTTTTGTTTTATGTTTTATCTCAACATATGTTAATTTGTAATTGTGTGGTTCTAGAAGATTAAGAAGCACACATCATTAATTCTTCTTCGTCTTTCATCATAGCACAAGCACAGCCATACATCAAGTGGAAAACATTAAACAGAAAACCTAATGTAGGATGAATCAGTAGAAAGCTGTTCTTCACAGTAATGCAATCATAACCTGACTGGCTCCCCCCTTTGTGTTTCTCTGTTTTTGGGCTTTAGAGACAGGAGGTTGGATACAGCTTTAATACAGCTAAAACTAGATAAAAACATACACGGACTGATCCACTGCTTGCAGATCCTCTATTTGATTTAAAATTGAGTCTGAACACAGCCAGTATGTTCCAAAACCTTCCTCAAGGGAAACTGGTTTTATCCCATTCCACTGCTGTTTCTGCTTATTTGGATGCATCACTAACTCGTTGTTATTCAGACTTTTTTTTTTTTTTTTTACTGATTTTGAGGACATACGGCGTTAAGCTATGACTCTTCCACTGCACACCCTGACATGGAGGAATATGTCTATGCAGACTGTTATGATTATTTAATAGGATGCTGTGACCTAATTGAAGTAATAATACTGTACACTATATACTATTAGACTAGCACCAGTTCCACAAAAGGCCGACTTCTGTCTCTTCTTCTAATGCTCAGTGCTGTTCATTGCCTGGTCCATTAACTTCTACACAAGCTGTGTGGGAGCAAACCATGAATTGCTGAAAGTCAGGATTCCTACCCACTGTTCACTGAGACACAACAAAGTGGGCTCAAATGTTTTTGTGTTTGCCTCCTCAGGTGCTAAATCCAAAGAAAAAAGGAAAGAAGAAGAAAAAATACCAGAACTCAGGAACTGTGAGTCAACAGTTTATGCAGCCTTCAACACTCACTGATGTTAACCCACTATGACACCAAAGCTGCATGTACACAGGGTCCTTAATTTTCTACGTAGAGTTTGTGTGATTTTTTTATCTATAGCTGTTTTCACACATGAACTCCGGATTGTCTCTGCGGAATAAGGCCTGGACTTTGTCCAGAGTTGCCCTTTCACAGATGTGGCACACAGCAGGAGGTAGTTAGTCCATGCCAGACGTGTTCTCATCTACTAGAAATACTCAGTTTGGTTTATGGGCGAGGATGCGCCTGCGTAGAGCACGCAAGAGGCAGGACATGACGTGGTCTCCTTTCTGATGATTCGGGTGCTGGCTTTTAACGACAGAATTTTCCGAACCAAGTTGTCTCCAGACAGATGTTCTTGTTGCTGTCTTTATTATAATTGACTGTTTATCTTCACCGTCGGACTTTGTACGAACCAAGTTGTCTCCAGACAGATGTTTTTGTTGCTGTTTTTATTATAATTGACTGTTTATCTTATTCCGGTTTCATGTTGGTCACATGATAGAATGTCATCAACACGCTCACTAGCTCTGTGTGAATACTGTGGACTGTATATTGTCGTATTCTCACACAGGTTCACTCCGGCTCACTTGGACATTACATGGACTTTGCACTAGGGAGCTGGCAGAGTAACCTCTGCTTAACATCTGGGTGGACTGACTCGGACATTAGCGTCCACATTTTGTAACCCAACCTCCCAACCCTTTTTTCATTATCCTCTCCACTCTGTGCAGGGGCCCTGCCAGTGCCCGAGAGCAGTGCGGATATCCAAAGCCAATATTTAGTTTCCTTGTGTGTATGACATGCAGTTGTGTGGAAACAACGCACTAAGTGCATTTTGGAATGATACGATTGCAAAAAATATGATATATGATCATCGATTTAATCTGAGAACCAGGTACTACATTAACAGTCTCTGCTCAGACTTTAAAAGTGACTGTTGTCTAACTCCTACATTTTTCCGACTGGCAGGTCACCCTCCTGTCCTGCCTGGTGGACACTGAGCTCTCCTTCCTGGACTACATCCGAGGCGGGTAGGTCCACAGTCAGCGGCATCAAACACAGACTCTATGGAGACTCTGCTGAGAGCATTGCTGCACTGTGTTTATCTTACAGCTGCAATATTTAGACGGACAGCTGCTGATAACCCGCTGCTTAATTGCTCTCTGTTGCATGCTTTGAAACATGCTGTGGTATAATCTAACTTGATTGATGATTCCACATTACTCCTTACATGGTTTATTTTCTCTTGTAGGACTCAGATTAATTTTACAGTGGCAATTGATTTCACAGCATCAAATGGTAAGTGTTGGCTTTGCTCTTATCAGTGAAATCTCTTAAGTGTATCGAACAGATAAAACCTTGGTGTTTAACATTCAGATCTTTATCTGATGTGAACTCCTCAGTGATTCTTTAGCCATCAATTTTAATTTACAGCACTTATACTAACGACACTTCACCCTGCCTTACTCAGCTAGAGACAACAAAGGCAAAGCAGCTGAAAGTTGGACAATTATTTAAACATTATCTGTTTCTTCAAGCTTCTGAGCTCAATGCAATGTTCTTTATTAGCCACAATTTGTACAGTTTGCAGCTCAGTGTTGACAGAAAGTCATTACACCCAGATTTTTCAAATTGCATTTCCAATTCAGATGGTTCTCATCTTGTAGTGAAGGGTTATGAAGCCCCACAGGTAAACTGTCTTACATTTGTCAGTGACAAGGATTTAACAACAAACAAACAAAATGAGCGCGTCCACACAGAAGCCTTTGGCTGCTTCTCATTACCTTAAAGTTTCTCTTTTCTCTAAGTTGCTCTTATCCTTGCATCTTCACTTGTAAGATGCAAGGAAATGGTGCAAGACAAAGATGTGAGCAGGAAGGAATCCAGGAAAGTCGTTTCTAGAGAAATGAGACATTCTTCCCTCAAACCCGTCGTCTAAAGCTTTGTCACCTTCTCATAGCGATGGCACAGCTGGATCAGCTGTCAGGCTGAAGGTGTTAGGAGCTTTGTATGCCTTAGAGTCTGCATTTGCACAGATAATGTGTTGCACTGTTGGCATAACAATAAGGGTGCATAGTTACACTACCAGCATGAATGTGCAATAACTCTATATCGTTCTCCTCAAATAATTAGTTTGACAATAAGACGCATTTGCATTTACTGATACTCTAGAAATTCATGATGTAATTATCCAGGTTATGATGAGAATGTCTTGTAATTTGGAGAAGTTGTTGAGTTGCATATACATTTTAGGGAAAATAGAAATTATGTAAATATTTAAAGTCAAAATATTCCTACACTATGTTACACGGGGATTTTCAGCCTGATAGAAACTGATATTTACTTTATTTAGCATATTTTTACTGGTGAACAACAACAGGCTCCTGATGAATGATCACGGCTGTTTCACGCTTCTTGTATTAATCTGACTCACAGTTTACACGGATCCAGTCATTTGAACTATATTGTGAATCAGAACACAAATAAATTCTAAACTCTGTGGTGACATTACAGCTGAGCCGAATCTGTTATTTGTCCCAGTATGAAACTGCAGTGATGTAGTATCAGATCAGTCCAAACACCAGCAGATCTCTAATAAAAGAGTGTGTTGGTCCAATAAAAGACTGTGAAGGATGGTCTCATGCCCTCACTCCTCATTCCTTCCTCCTCCAAGCACTATTAAGAGAACTGAGATGTTCTTCATAATGACAGGAATGATTTCCAGGTCACTCGAGGAGCGAGGAGACATGACTTAAGGTAATGAGAGGCACTCATTGTCACGGATGAGTGATGGTGTCATTTTAGTAAGAGCTGATCTGGTAAGTTAATCTATGTAATACAATTTTGGAGACCTTATTATGTCACAGGAGAAATGTGGCATTCTTTACTGCCATCTGATCAGCCTCCCACATTCCTGTCTTTGAGAACGGCTGAAAAACAGTGGTATCATGCATATAATTACATTACTTTTTGTGTTGACAAAGGAGGGACCTTGCTTTTGGGGACCATGTTGGTTTCTAAGGCCCTGTGCAAAACTACCTGCAGAAGTTTGTGTCAGATGATGATAACTTTTCCTTTATAGTAACGGACAAAGTATTCCACACACACTCATTTCATATTGAAGGATAAGGCTGCAGGTATTCTTTGTCGTCTTTGTAACCCAGTCACTCCATTGTTGTCCAACAACTATTAAAACACATCACTGAGCATTTCCCTTATTACCATGAACACACACTCTATAGTTTGTTGAATCAATTCCACATACACCGCACTGATTAATACACCACATTTGTTGAATCAATTCCACATACACCGCATTCATTAATACACCACGTGTATTATCCACAGCTCAGTCCCCAACAGATTTCAGTTATATTTGCTAAAGTAGCTGTTCTGGGAAATTAATGACCCTTATTTTAAAATAAAAGAAACTATATGTGTTTATGTGATCAGTAGGAACTAGATGACATTAAGAAAAATATATCAAACACCAGTCTTATCTTTTTGTGTCACAATCATTCTTATTTATTTTTTATCTGTTCTCATTTCTCTGTTTGTGCCAAAAATAATGGCAGGACAAATGAAGCTATTGCTGAAGTTGGTTTTATTATCTTCATAATTCATTAATGTGGTAGTTAAACAGTTTGAAATTGAAGGTGGGCTTCATGTTAATTCCTACACAGTAAACACATGGACCCTCAAGCTACGCTCTGAGCCTTAATGCAACCAATGAGATAATAGTGCCTTGGAGAAATTTTTGTGTAACTAAAAGCGTGCACTTTAACCCCCTTCCACCCACTCCCCTCCTTTTTATTGTAATATGACTCAGGGCCAAGGGGGAGCTGGCATAATTACACTTTGATGCTGATGTGTGTTTTATTGTGTTGCACCATTCGGGTCCCAGGCAACCCGTCCCAGCCCACCTCGCTCCACTACATGAGCCCGTACCAGCTGAACGACTATGCCATGGCGCTGCGGGCCATTGGAGAAATCATCCAGGACTATGACAGTGACAAGATGTTTCCTGCACTGGGGTTTGGTGCCAAGCTTCCCCCAGACGGACGCGTCTCACACGACTTTGCACTGGTGAGGAGACATCTTTATCCCATCATTTGCATCATCCAAAAGCCCTGTCATCCGGTCTTCTATCCATTTACCCTTCCATCCTTTTATTTAGCCTATGCAGTAAGTACAGCATGTGTGAACCCTAAATGACATTTGTCGTTGCACAACTCCACAAAATATGCACACATCTTACTGAGAAGAAGGCTCACTGTGTCATCTGCATTATTTTTCAGATTATAAGTCGCCTTAACAGGTGTTTTATGGCATAACACAGGAAGGTGGTACTGTTCTTCCAGGGCTAAGCATGCTAAAAGCTTTCTCAGAATGGTGGAAAAGGCAGTAATAATGTGCAAATGAAACTCTGCTGCCATGCTAACATCTGTGAGGCTGTAATTAATGTAAAGTAATGCTAACGTCAGCATGCTAACATGTTCATTAATGACATTGTAAACATGCTGATATTTAGCAGGTATAATGTTTATCATAATCATAGTCGTAGTTAGCCTGTGAGCACAGTAAGTAATTAACACAGTACAACTGAAATTGACCTGCATTAATTTAGCAGGTTTTTGGTAATGAATCAAGTCAGTGTTTAAAGTTCTCAAATTGTGATGTGTGATGGTACTGGATGAAATGCTAGGGCATCACACACACAATCATTAATCCTATGTGAAGCATGAATATCTAAACTGAATCAAAGGACATATCTTTGTGATATGAAGCAGTAGGGGTTGTGTAAAATGGGTTGATAATTTTGAAGAACATTAAAATGAGGGCTGGCACTACAAAAACTAATTTAAATTTGGCTTCTTCCCAAACTATTGAGAATAAATCTTTTAATGGCTTTAATGCCAGCTGGAGGAGCATGCCTTTCACAGTGTAAGCACACACGACATGCATGTTTATCAAAGCAAGATGTACTGGAAACATAAAGTTATACTAGGACTATGTCAAAATCTGGAAGAGTAAACTGAAAACACACAGCATGCAACCAGGCACTTTCATACAGTGATGACCAATTATAGGCAAAGGTTTAATAGTGGGTGGTGAACGCTGCTGTCCAAAAGCATGAACAAAGTCAGCCAGCCAGCCAAATGAGCTGTTTAGTTTTTGGCTGTAAACAAGATATTTTGCCTGTGTAAACACTGTTTTCTATTTTATTTATTTTGCTGCCACCTGCCAGTCTAAGTCCTAGCGGAGCGACAAAGACAATACCAGCCAATTCAATTGACATTAAACTGTAGTAGTTTCGTTTCTTTAGAAAAAAATATATCAAGGTATGACAGTCGTTTTCCTAACATGGAAATTATGCATATAGTGCCCATTAAGGATGAATATTCTGTGACCTTCATTCAGCACTCTCAGCATCCACCCACCCATTCATCCATCCATACTGCTCTGCCAGTGCCAAGCGCCCTGGGACTCCAGACGTGCTGACCACTCCTCAGCCACTTATAATTCTCCCTGCTCAACTGACACTTTCAGATGTTGCTCCAGAGGCATTTACAGTCATTACAGCTGGTCAGCACTGGGTAACAGCTTCCCTAAACAACCTTGAGACATGCACATATGCATTAATCTAACCATTAAGGACTTAGTCAGCTCTTACAGCTGTGTAGCTGCAGCGGGAGGAGGCCACCACTGAATCCAACGTAATTATGCAAGCTCCATTTACAAAGCAAAGGAGTCTCCTATGCACTGTTCATACTCATGGGCAACCAAGCAGAGACAGTCAAGATGGTTTCTTACTGAGATAATTAGAAAGCCCGAAACACGCTGTATGACTAGATTAAATAATGTGTTGTTCGCCTCTTTCTGAGTTTCTTTGGGGGTCTTAAACCCAGTCAACCAGACATCATTTGTGATATTTTTCCAGGGATATGGGTGCTGCAAAGAAACAAAACACTGCAGCAGCTTTAGTTCTGGTCATAAAGTCTTAAAACAGTATTTTATTTGAGAAGCCAGTGGATGAGTTTCTCATAGATAAACTCATCCTAAGAGATGTTATCATCACGTGTTGTTGGTGCAAATAAACAAATGCAATTGATTTTACCAAAGTGCTTCTGCTGGAATCCATTCTTAATTCAAAGTTTAAAAAGTGAAATGACTTCCCCTGAAATGCTGCAACACAGGAGTTAAACTCTTGACAGTTCCCTAAAGTATACGTAATATTTTCATTGTAGGATTGGATTTACATCCTGATGGGACACTAGATACTATTTTGTGATAATATTAGAGGAGTATTGTTGTTTTGGCCCTGCAGCTGTTTTTGCTGCATCTAATCATGTTATCCTGCAATTTGTAGCCAAAACATGCTGTTTTTAAAATAAAATGTAATTTTCCACCCATTTTCCAATAGTGTAATAATACACTGACATCCACAAATGCTTTATGTATTTATCTTCTTCTTCTGGGCGGCACTGTTCTTATGTTTGCTTTCAGGTACACTGTCTGTATATCAAAACAAACTAATTCACTTTGATTCACAGTGGTAAAAATGTGTTGTCTCAGGTGTACCACAGAGACCATCTTTTTAAACTAGCTTTTGAGCAGTGCTCTTTTTCTGTTATATTTTTTGTGATAATATTGGTATTTTATAGGATATATAGTTGTTGTTTTTTTTACTGTAGTGTGAAGCACCTTGTGACTAGAAAGGTGCTATATACAGTAAATAAACTTTAATAAACTCTAATAACTACTTACACTCTTTATAAACTAACAGCTTTCCAGTAGTGTATTAAACACCTGAAGCAACAAAGTAGCTGAAGATACAGTACTACAGAGCAACAGCAGCATTCCAAATTTTGTCAGTGAGGTTTGCTTCTTCCAGAAATTATATAAAAGTGTTATGAACGTTATACAGTACACAACTGTGTTTTAATTTGCCTTAGAAGAGCTCCTGTGCCTCCTGCTTAGAATAATGAGGTTAATAAAGATAAAAACCTTTCTTAGCAACAAAACACTTCAGTTGTGTTGCTGCAGCTGATTCTAGAAGAATATTATAATTTTTTTCAGTTACAGAAAGACAATTCTTTACTTAGCGACTTCTTCTGTCTCTCGGCAGAATGGTAATCCACAGAATCCATACTGCAATGGCATTGAGGGGGTGATGGAGGCCTATTACCAGAGTCTCAAATCAGTGCGTCTCTACGGACCCACACACTTCTCCCCTGTTATTAACCATGTGGCCAGGTAGGTCCACTGTAATCACAGCCAGGTATGTGGAACATGTGGGCAGATACACACGCAGATGTTACCGAGTATGATGCAACTACATGTATGGAATTTACAGTTCTACATGAGAGTAACATTAATCAGCTTTGGTGAAGTTTCACCAGTGTGGGTTTCTGTAGAATGACAAACAACGTATCTATTTGTCCATCCGTCATCTAAACAGAAATCTGAAAAAATCATGAGAGATAAATAAACAGACCTATCAGTATTGGTCTGTATAGGTGAGTACCATACTGTTTCTGATAAATGTAATAAAATCCCACTCCACTAGTATACAACACACTTCATCAGCAGTGTAGGCTTTATTTTAAATAAACAGGGGTATATTTTCTTTTTTGTTGTTCCCTTTTATTTATTACACTGTATATAATGCTGAAATTGACTGTTTGTGTGAGTTTATTACCACCGCCATGTTTTTGCCAGCATTTGTTGCTTTGTTCACAGCATAACCCAAAAAGTAATGAATGGATTTTTATGGCATTTTTTGGAGAGGTGGGGCATGGACCACAGAACAATCAGTTAGATTTTGGTGCTGATCTGGGTCATCATCATCATCATTTTAAAGGATTCTTCACCATTGTGACATAGGGCCAATATAAATATTTTAACTGCTGTCTCCACAATGTATAGAATGCTTTGACAAAAATTGCAAGATACTATTCACATAAGATCTGCCACACACCAAAGTGTCTGCATCCAAATAATATTCCTGAGCTGGTGAACCATGAATGTTCAAATTCATAGGACTTACAGAAAACTCTCTAGTGTGACACAACAAATAATAGCACAGACTTGCAACTATGATCAAATTCTAGCAGAAACCTATAATGCAGCGCAATAGCATCTTCTTCTTAGATGCTATTCAGTTGAGAGATGAATGTCTTCAAACTCTCTTAAACTCTGTGCTTCCAGTTTGTAACTCAGGCTGCTGAAAATTTGTGTAAACCTGGTCAGTGATGTGTGTGTGTGTGTTTGTGTGGGTGTATATAGATATATTTCAACAGAAACCTTTTTAATACTTATAAAGTGTTGAAATCCAGTTTTTGTACATGAAGGAGATGCACAGATTTCTATCACCCTGTGTCTGTGTTTTAGTTTAGCTAGTTTGACCTCTGACCTCTCATCTCTCTTCGTGCCAGGTATGCGTCAGCAGTGACAGACGGTTCACAGTACTTCATCTTGCTCATCATCTCCGACGGCGTGATCACAGATATGGCACAGACCAAGGAGTCCATAGTCAATGTACTGTATAGCACTGCATCCCATTAAACCTCTTCCTTTTATGTTTTATTGTTCAAATGCTGTTAGCATAGGGGACTTTGTAAACACATGATAGAATTTACAGGATCAGTAGCAGCAGTCCATGTGCTTTTCTGTTAATTTACTGTAAAAGGTGAGGACCCCTGGAGGTCTGGCTGTGAAGACGCCACTAATGGAAGTTTTAATAAACCAGCAAACAAACATTATGAAGGGGACAATATGAAAAGCAGTCCAGCTGCTGTGTTTCTCTGGTAGTACTTTCCTCTCTCTCATCTTCACTAATGAGGGGAGCGAGGATGAGGGCGGTCGGCCTGGTCAGCTTCCCCTCTCCCCCTGCACCCAACAGTCCCACGTTCCAGTCTAATAACTCCACTTTCTAATTAGGGGCATCAGAGCTGATGTGTGTAACAATATTGGGTGAGCTCATATCTTTGGAGCCTCAGTCGCCTTTGCTCGTTGCTCTGCCTGGCATAGCCTCACCATTCGGTTCATGCTCCCTTCTCCTCCTCCATGCCCCCACGTGATGTAATGTTATTGTAAAGTAAGATTGGAGAGTAATTATTTACTAGCCGGCGGAGGATTCCTGCTCTTCATATCTCAGGCAATTTGGGCATCCATCTAATAACCACAGGAAGTTATGAAACACTGAAAAACCTTCATTCATCATTCATCACTCGAACTGTATTTTGCTGTCCCACTCGGCTAAGATTTAATAAACAATATTGCGATGCAGGGCAGCAGTTCAGTGGCAGCTCTGGGCCGGGGAAGATGTAAATGGAAGTCGTTTTTAACCTGTCAAGTTGTAGATACATGAAATTAGAAACTCCAGAACTGGCTGGACGAGAGACTTTATGAAACACGCTGCAGAGGGCAGATCAAATTGGACAAACCCTGTCTGTCTTCACAATAGTGTTTTATTTTTCTGCTCAGCTTCCCTTCTATGGGTTGTTAACTTATAGCTAGTAATATCTGGGGGATTTCACTGACAACCTGAGGCCATTAAGATAACAAACAGTGTAAAGAATGAAGGTTGCTTCTTCCTCGCCTTGCATACAGTTTCTCTGTCTTGTTCCACCTGTCACAGGCTGCATCTCTGCCCATGTCAATTATAATAGTCGGGGTTGGACCAGCAGAATTTGATGGTAAGCAGGGGGGAGATCATGTGTATTTGTGTTCTTGCATGTGTGTACAGCAGGTGTGTGCTTGTGTTGATTTGAATGCAGCAGTCCTTTGCTTTCATTCTGCTTCCTATCTGGCCTCCCACATGGTGCAGCTCCTCTATTCTTCTCGCCTCCATTCTCGTTCCCCTTCATTTTTCCTCCCCTCTTTTGCTGAATCGAAGGTTAAATGTGAAAATTCTCATCATCAGACCAGTGGCAGTGTTTTTTATGGACAGTAGCCATACTCTTCACTTCCCTCCTGTGCTGTTGCAAACATATTCATGTTTATAATTCATAGAGCACTCCTCTGTAAAGACAAGTCCATTCATGATGAGCAATTGGCCTGCAAAGTCAACAGGATTTAACCGTTATCACGCTGATGGGGGCTGCATGATGTCCCCATGGTGCACATTTTTGGTCCTGCTTACAAATATTCTAGCATGTTTCCCTTGTGTGCACATTTGTGTGTGACTTACGTACCAATGGTTCATGCGGCATTTGGTGTGAGTTTACCAAGTCCGATATGATGGCTTTGACATGCTCTCCTGACTGATGTGCTTCCCTCCTTAGAAATGATCGAGCTGGACGGGGATGAGGAGAGGATCTCATCCCAAGGACGATACGCCGAGAGGGACATTGTTCAGGTACAGAAGACTCCCGAAGACATGGCTGACTGCCTATGAGGCTGGTTGCTCAGCAGAATGTCTCCAGAGAAATGTGGGCTTTATGATTAATGGGAAAGGTCATGGTACTTGACCCACTGCTGCACTGTTGTCCTCACTTTGCCATTTTTCTATCTCATTTCTACTTTCTCGCTTCTCTAAACTATATCCACCTTTTCCCTGTGTCCTTAACATAGTTCATCTTTCACATTCTCCCACCTGATATATGAGCATGTTCTTTATTTTTCTTTGTTCTCTGGTTTCTGTCCTGTTTGTTTCCTCTGCTCTCCTTATTTCTGTTTTTCTTCTCTTGGCTTTTTGTTGTTTACTTTCATTTCTTTTTCTTTCATTTCCCTCTCCTCTCTTCTGCTCTCTTGTTCTAATTCCTTGTCTCTTGTCCCCCTCTTGTTTCCTCTTCTCAGTTTGTTCCTTTCAGGGACTACATCGACCGACGAGGAAACCACATCCTCAGTATGGCTCGTCTAGCTAAAGAAGTACTTGCCGAAATCCCTGACCAGTTCCTGTCTTACATGAGGACCCGAGGAATCAAACCTGGGCCCTTGCCACCTCCTTACACCCCATGTCCACCACCAGCTATCCACCCCCTCCTGGCCAGACGGGTAAGCCGAATCTAAAGGCTGAGACCTTGCTCCAGCTCTGGCCAGCCGACTCTACTGGCCTCTACTCTCTTCTTCTCTGCTTCTTTTCTTCCTACTCTTCACTGGAAGCTTTTGAGCACACGGTGAGCCTTGCCTGCTCTCTCATGTTGCACTTTTGTGAACGTTTGGCCGTGAGCGGTGATGCAGATAACCCCAAGTGGAATCCTTCCACTCACAGAGGAAGGGACTTTGGATCTGGACGAAGTTGGGTGCAGGGCTGACTTAGCTGCACTAGAAAGAGTGAAGTGGACAGAAACTGTCCACTAGCAGCTGTCAGACCGAAAGTGTCCGATCTGGGGAGGCCGTTTTCTGAAACACTCTTCATCTGTTTCCTATTTCTATTTCCACTTCCCCCTTGATTCACAAACCATGTCTTTCAATATATAAATGTTTACAAAATTGAGTCTGGAGAGGAGAAATCTTTTCTGGGAGAAAATTTATACCAATCAATGTGAAAACCTTTTCCAGTTACTTGTTTTTTGGCTGCAGAAACTGGAGGTTTTGACTTTGTACAGGAATATTTAGGCTCTGGCGCCACATTCTTCTTTGTGACTGAGTATGTGTTTTATAAATAAATGGAGCATGTGCTAGTTTAACAGAAGCATGCACTGTTGTCCTGCACTCAGGGCCTTGTCCCTCCCACCCCCTCGCCACCACTTCCACGTTCCACTAAGAACAGACCCATCACACACCTGAAAGCCTCCCACACTCCTGTGTTGTGATCCCTCCACCTGCCTTGACTCAAAAGGAAGCTGTGCTCCCTGGGAGTCTGGTCAAATCAAATACAGCAGGGACTTGTACCAGCCTTACTCTTGTCAGATAACATTCATAGCACCGCGTCCTCTGTGGGTTCTGGAAATGCAGATCTCCAAGCCCAGAAGTCAAAAACACACATCTCACTACCGAACTGTTACATTTTAAAGTCTCCTTATTTTTATGGAATAACATTGTACATTTGAAGCATTTTTTTGTTTTGTTTTACGTCTCTCTACCTCTCACTTTGTTTAGTATTGCCAAAAAATGTTTAAATAACAATGTGTTGGTGTGTCAGTGAGTTTTGGTAAGTCTGTGGAGTTCACAGTTATATCTTTCTCACCAAGTATTCACAAAATATTTGCCAAACTGTAGGATGAGAATTATAGCACTTTGGTTGCTATCAGATCAGGTGACTTGCACCTGTGTGGTAACAATACACTGTGAATATGTGCAGAGAAATCAGTGAACCAACATGCACTAATGCTTTTGTCTTAACAGCAACCCACATGGATCAAAGTAGAAATTGTGAGCAGTTTTTAGTTCCATGTTGTCCAGCGGCATTGTAACTAATAGTTGAAGCCTGTACCGATCTGGAAACCCTTAGGTTTGGAAGTATGTAGCTAATCATCTCCTTTAAGGAAAATTCGTATTTTCTTAATCAGACTGTCACCTCCTGAAGGGTTGGAGTACTTTGTTACTTGACTGCAGCAGTTCCCAGCTTAGACTCAAAACAGTTACAGCAGATACCACTGACAGGTTCCCTGTTTTCACATCGGCTCACATCAGAAATTACCTCAAATCTGCAACATGCATAGAAGGAATCGATACAGCTATAAGTCAGATTATGGCGTATTTCTTTGACTGACATAACACATGTTAAAGTCCTTCTCTCAAACAGCAATGAAGACCTATCCACACAATTTAAGTTCCAATAGTTTTAGTTATTTTACATGATACCTTTGTATATACTGTATGTGTTTTTGTTTGTGAAAAACAAACGATCATACTGCATGTACCCCACTCAGTTTAGCAACATACTGTATGAGTCAGAATTATTTAGTAAATTATTTAATGTTATACAGGAAAACCTGAGATGTGAAACTGTTTTTCTGAGCTGTAATCCATAACACAGGCTCTGCTCTGACTACAGATTACATCAGCAGATCACTACTGATTAGCTTGGACAAAATGACTTCCTCTCTCAGACAGAATCCCATTAGCACAATGTCAGATTGAATAATGAAGTGAAAACAAAACGGCTGCAGAGTGTGATTATCAGGTTAATAGTAACCCAACTTTATGGTGACAGAAAAGTATAAACATGTTAATAGAAAGCTTTCAAATCTATCTTACGGCATAATCGTGGTTTGTCTGTCTATATGTTCAGAATATTCAACATCCAAAAACTCTATTCACTTATATATATGGCAAAATACAGCCAAGTAAACAGCTTTTGATTGTTGCTAGCATAGTTACCTGTTTATGTCCGCCACTGGCAACTGCAGGAGCAAGTGCAGCTTCTTTTTACAGTCAGATTTTTGGTTGTTTTCAAAACGTTTCTAGGGAAGTTGAACCTTTTTCCATGATAAAACTGGGTCATCACTGGAATCCAATGTAACGTCTCTGAATCCAAGCTACCTGCAGCTGCTGTCCTCTGCTAAGGAGTAACCTTTCCAATATTCAATAATCAAGACTTAGTTTTTCAGGGCAGTATTCCTTTAAAAATGAGGAAACACTCCAAATCCCAAACAGATTTTTGCACTGTCACTTTTAGCCAAATGTTGAGGTGAAACAGCCCTGGACAAAGAGCCCTGCTGTTTTTCCAGCAATGTGTATATAAAAACCTTCCAGTGTTACTTTAAGCAGAGCATAAACCATTTCCTATCAGAGAAGCAACAGAGACCCCTTATTGCTTGTGTAAATGTGTGCGCAGTGTTTATACATTTACTCTCTGTGTTCTACCAGCTGTAGATCTTATCATACTTTTTGGGCCCTATTCAGTCAAGGAATCGGTGTAAAAGAAGGTTTACAACATTTTTCTAAACTCACACCTCAAAATCATCTTGGCTCGGCTGTTGATGCTTAATTAAAATGTCTAATTATGAACCGCTTGTAAAATGTTTTCTCAGACATTTATACACCAAACAGATTCTTTGCCTTTTTTGTGTACTGGTCAATATACTGTCTGGTCAAATCCACTTCTGTACTGCTGATATAACTATTAATGTTTTATACTGAGGCCTGTAATCATATTTAAATCATGACTAACAGGCCTTATTTATACATAAGTTATTCATATTTAAATCATGAATGACAGGCCTGTATTTTTTTTATAAGAGTGGTTAGATAAAAATGTATGTTTCATGTAAAAGTAGACCTAGTGATCACTCTGTAGCAACATATTTCTGCCAAATTTGATACATTAAGTGTAGCATCTTATTGTTTGCTGAGACTCATCCCAGGAAAGCTGGTTATTCAGTTTGACTGAATAGGGTCCCACAGTGTGGGGAAAGGAGGTCTGATAGAGCTTCTACTCTTCTGTATTGTTGGTGTGACAGCGGGGATGCCGAACCGCACAATGTAGCACTTGTCTGGTGTTGGACTGAAACAACACCAGACTAAACCAGATCAGACCAGATAAAGCAGGAACTGACTACTGACTTTTTATATGTAAATGCAAATATATATTCTGTATATACTGTACTGATGTTTTTTGGAGAGTTGACTTGCCGTAACTCTGTGACTCTTGTTCTCAAACACTAAGCAGGGCCTTTCACTCATATAGCACAGCAAGATGCCAGCTTCATCTCACACACACAGTCTCGTATATAATGTACATCCGGTATTTGTATATGAAACATGCATTACACGTACAAAACAAGGTGAGGGTTGAGTGAAAATTGACTGGTTCTTTCTTGTTTGCTCAGAGAAACAGTGGTTTCAGAGCTAGAGTCTGGAACAGTGTATCTCACTGTTGTATTGCAGGATTTCTCAACATTTTAGCTCCGTGACCATATCCTGAAGTCCCAGGTGTCAAACTGCAATGTCAAACTGTTTTATGCCATATATTCTGTTTTCAGGGATTTGGAGGTATTGCTCATGAGAAAATAACAGACATGCTCAGAAATGCCCATCTCATCATACTGTGTCATTTAGAAATGGACTCTGTGGCCTGTGGATCAGGATCTACAAAAAAAAACATGTGGCCTTTTGATCATTGCTGAAATTTTCACCGAACATAACTGATGATCTACAATAATGAAACCAACTAACCATTTGCAAAGCACAACTTCTATTAGTTTAGTTTATTGTCTTTTTATTTAACCTTTATTTTACAAGGCCATCCCATTGAGATCTAAATCTCTTTTTTTAAGGAAAATCCAAAGCTTGACAGGCCTAATGCAGATCGTTTCAAAGCTGTTCAAAGGAACGTTATAACACAGTCAGTTGATAAATTCTTTTTTATTTGACCGTACAATATAGATCGGAAAGCATGTAGATCTTTTCTTTTTCATAGAAACCATATGGAGTTGGCTTTTTTAGATGCGACCGCAGTGTGTGAAATCACTGTTCCTCTGAGGCTGTGTCAGTGTAGGAGTAACAACCAAAAGCATTTATTGTGTAGGACACTTCGAGGCAAAAAACAACCTGTGTTGGACAAAAGCTTTAGTGAAGACAGCTTCCACCTCGCTGCCTCCCACCGCTCATCGTTCCATCTGTGTCACTCTGATGCGGCGGTACATGTCAGCATGCCAGGCCGTATGAACGCCCATGTAATCTTCACACATACAGTATAACATAAAAGTTGTTTACTTATAATATTAACAAAGTTGTATAATTGAATGCTCGTGATGTTTTCTCCTGATGTTTTTTTATAGCATGCATTGCGTTTGCATGTGTAGATCTTTTCTAAAAATGATGCGTCAGTGGGTTTAAAAAAATTGTAGTATAACATCTTTGCGTGTTATTTTATTTCAGAAAGCTTTTTTGCCTTAAGTCTCACTGATCAGTCTCGGAATTGTGCAATGCCTTCAGATGTTTCTTGTGACGACTCATTCTTGTACTCTGAATTTTTTATTTTGATTTATTTTTGTGTACATTCATGCACAGCCCCTCCTCTGGACTCGTTCCCAGTGATAATAAGTATCAAAAGGGAGAATGATGCTAACAGGAAAAAACTGGGCTGTCTCGCTCTCTGCAAATAATTCCAGCCTCATATGACTTTGTTTAAAATAACCACAGATCTGTGTTTTATCATAAACTAAAACTGCCCAAATTTATTAACTCCTTTTTCTTTCACCCTTCATGTTGGGTCATTATCCTTGGCTTTTGCATGATGCTGGTGATTAAAAATCTAAAATTATTTGTCCTTAATATTTACTGTTTGAATCAGTTGTTGCGATTAGTGGTAATACAAGACAGCACAGGTTTTACTGTTCAAATAGGAAATATAGAAAGGACTAAAGATTGATTTAAAATAACTATTTATGTAAGAATTGAAATCTAAATAAATATCCATACCAAACTTTTGTTTCTTCTTCTGTGCTCAAATGATAAATTGAATTCAAACATACCTGGGGTCCACTCACATTGACTTGTATTGTAGATATAGATGGTGTTATGTCATACATGTTTGTCTGTATGGTGGGATGTTGTAAAACACAAACACGTTCTGTCAGAGACGCTCTCCATGTTGACAGGCACTTGGCATGGTTGATGACGCCAGCACACTAGAATAAATGTGCTTCACACCATTACACATTTAAAGTCTTCATCTCAAGATCTAAGTTGTTATCAATGGGGCGACAGGTGTCCTCGTTCCAAAGACTCCTCCAGATGTGGCTGAGAAATCCAGTCTCCTTTTGAGTTTTAAAAACAGAATTGGTGTCTTCCCACACACTGCACTAAGCTCCCAGCAGTTTTATTTAAGCTACAGCAATGTTTCAGTCTAAAAAAGATCTTCATCAGGCATTGTCAAACAGGCATCACAGTGATGAACAGACATATGTAGACATCTACAAATACACCACTCAGGGGTTTTCGATGTGAATGATTCAGACTCATTATGCTTCTAGGAAGGACCAATCAGAACAGAGCTGAACTGCACTGTCTCCCAGTTATGGAGCAGAAGATGCCACTATTGGAGGAGCAATGAGAAGAAAAAACACATTAAATCAATAGAAAGCCACAAAAATACAAGAAAACAATCACTATAAGAAGAGAGAATCACAAGAGTAGGTAGTTTTAGGGGTTATAGCCCTGAATCTGGGACATTGTTTACCAGTTGTTTATCATGTTTTGAAGTTAAAATTTCTCACTTCAGAATCAGAATCAGTTTTATTGGCCAGGTGTGTTGAACACAAGGAATTTGACTCTGGTACAATGTGCATGTACATATCCCCACAAGGGGCAAGTAAACAATAAACCAACATAAGGCTGTGTAATATACCAAAATAAACCATATAAACAGGCAGTAAACCAGGCAGACAGACAAAGTAATGTTCATTATGAAATGAGATAAATAGGAATAAAAATAGAGTACTTAAATATAGAGACCTGTTTTCAGATATGTGGCATTTGCCCCAGTCCAACCCATACACATTCAGTCTGCAGGGCAAAAACAGCAACAAAGAAAATGGAGAGACTGTTTCTATTAATGCAGTGTTTAGACCTGCAGGGTCTTCATCAGGCAAACATGTTGTGATGTCGAAGTTAACGGAGATGATGAAGGCTTTGCAGGTTGCACCAATGAAAACTTGGTAGCTCAGCAACTTCAGTGGGTGGACAGGCTCTCCATTTACCCCTGTTTATCATTTTGCTATTTTAGGGGTGGAGATGATCTTGGGAACATTTGAACGGAGTAATAAAGGATTTCCCCAGTGCACCCTGAAGCTGTATTCATCTCATAATGGGAAAAAGGCTCTGCACTTGCTGCTTTGCTCCACAGGGTTCTTGTAGGGGAGCTGTGAGAGATAACGTATTGGCAAGTAGCTATTTACAGAAATTTAATGTTACATCCTGAGTATTTGCAAGTTTTATAATCCCTCCTGAACTCTTCTGACTGTGGTATCAGGTGAATTTACTTTTTTAAAGTCCTACAGGCTACAATAAAAACAAAGTTAACAGTCATTTGATAACTGCACAGACCTGAACCTTATCTCTGACCCTGAAGACTGACGCACACAACCATTTCTGGTTTGGTTTCATTATGACAGTGATTTGTTATTGTTCTGGTTCATTCAGAAACACTGCTTAGTCATTTGTCATCCATATGAAATCACAGCAGCATTCAGCAACTGGCTCCACTCTCAAAGGTCAGGGCATATTGGAACAAGCAATTTGAACTTTTGGACATAGTCCTACTCCAATATGTGCACACCGCAATGCATGAGCTGTGCGTCAAAGCTGTTTTCTGCAGTAATTTGAATATGGCTCTCGAGTCTAAGACCAAACCTTCATGAACTGGAATCTTAACTCTTTGTATTTTCATCCATCTAACTTTGTAATAAGCCCAGTGGTGCACGTTTCGTGCAACCCCAAATCAGAAAAGGTTGGGGCAGTATTTAAAATCAAAATTAATACTGAAATAGTGATGTGTAAATCATCTGTGTCCTGTATTACATTGAAAACAATGCAGTAGCACATTATTTGATGTGATACCTCATCAATTTTATTCTTTGTTCAAAATAAACATTTCAATTCTGATGCCTGCAAAACAAACCAAAAAAAAAATTGGAACAGTGAAGCGTTTACCACGGTGTGATGCTGCCGTTCCTTTTCACAGCACTGAAAAGACATTTATGGACAGAGGACACCAAGTGATTAACTGTGTCAGGTGTGATGTTGTCCCATTCTTCCTACAAACAAGTTGAAAGGTGCCCAACAGTCCAGGGTCGTGTCAAATAAAGTGCTACTCTATTGTTTTCAATGTAATACAGGACAAAGATGATTTACACATCACTATTTCAGTTTTAATTTTGATTTAATACACCATCCCAACATTTTATGATTTGGGGTTGCACTGAGCACATTTAGGCTGATTCTAATAACAGGCAGGCACATAAAACACCGCTGCTGTAATAGATATCAGTTAATTGCCTCTGGCTCCCGGAGAAGAGCAACAACATGCAGAGGTGTGAATGTGCTTCAGCTTTAAAGTTTTTCTTGACTGCTGGTGAAAACCTTATTTTTCTGAAGTAAAAACAATCCAGTATCTAGATGCCCATGAATTTTCTATTTTGTGTATCTGTTGGGAGTTGGATTTATGAAGTTTTCATATGGCAGCAGCAACAGTCGGATGTTGGTGGAAGGGCTCTCAAATACTGAAGTGTATCTGGAGTTTATGGATTAAGACTGTAACATTAAATGACACTAACATTCTTTGTATGGTAACATTTTCAAAGATCTTTGCTTTATTATTAGAACTGTGAGGAGCATCAAGAAAAAAAGGTTTGTGGACAAAAGCATTGTGCGTGAATCTTTTTTTTTCTTTTTGCCTGTGTGTATATGTTTGTGTGGGTGTAGCCTCTTGTCTTTATGAATGCACAGTCCAGTGTTCCTCGATTAAACCTGAGGCTTTTCTGCTTTATTATGTGATGCAGTTGTCACACGCTTTCACTCAAATGCCCCATGACGGATCTGCTGAAAGCATCCAATGGTAAGAGACCGCCAGTCTCAGTGAATATGAATTGTTTGCGTCCTGCTCCTCAGAACAACAACAAAACAATCGCTTGATGGTGCTGGGAAGCGATCTGACATGCTACGAGCGTGGGCTGCTTTGTAACAAGTGACAGTGTGCTAATTACAGCCAGAAGACTTTTTTTTTTCTCATCCTCGTTCCAGTCCTGTCCAAGATTTTAATGAGTGCTCATTGCTATCTGCTCTGTATGTTTATCTGCATATGACTTTTAACTTCATGTTCCATTATTATGTTATTATCACCGCCTCCCACTTGAAGCTATAATCAGAAACTTTAATTGGCACTGTGAGCCCCACGCACGCAGACTTGAAACTTTGGTAGATTTATGATCTACTGCAAAATTACAACCACGGAAAAAGAATATACTACAGAGAGTGGACATCAGTAGTATTCAATGATAGGGCTGCTTTGCATTGTGACAAATATAATACTTTAAATTTATGCAATACCTTTTCAAATATGGCAGATGAAAATACAAACAGTTATAAAATGATGTAAAAGCCATAGTGAGTGAAAGTGTTAGTTATGCAATGAAACACATTAGTATTAAAACCATCTACATAAAAACAAGTACAGCAGACATGAAACCGTTAGTCAAATGACAAGCAGCTATCTAGATTAATATTTAATGTATATTGTTTTCATTAACAGTGGAGCACTGTCAGTATTTTGTTCATAGTGATGAACCCACAGAGAGACCAGCTGGTTAAATTTTAAGATGCAGTTTCCCACGTTACTGTTTCCAGGATGTTTTGGTAGAGACCTCTGTCCACACTGTAACACATGAAAACAGCTAATTGCCATCTTATTTTTTCAGTTAGCAAACAAAAAAACAGAAAATCATAGCCAAGGTCTGGGACAGACTGGATCAGTGCTTCATGGTCACAGCGTCATCTGACAAAATAATTCTGGGTAAATAACACGTCTGCTGTGCATTCAGCTATGCTGGCATTTAAAATGATTTGTCCCAAGGTGACTAAAAGTTGTCTTTTCAACTTTACAGGCACACAGATCTGTGCATCTGTTTACCCCATACACAGTAAAACTCCAAGCAGGGGTTTTAAGAGCTACACACTCTGGAGGGAAAAGCTTTATGGGAGGAGAAAAATTATGTTTTAGTCTGAATGGCTGAAATGGAGATAAAGTGTTGTCTGAGTTCACCAGTTTAATGTGGCCATACTCACCATTTTGGTTTTCTGGTTTTGATTCACGGTCACCGCTCTCATGCACACTGTTTGCTGTGAAAAAGATTTAAAAACTGACTGAATGCTGTCAGAAAGACACATTTAGTGACTAGCTGGTCATCACAGACCAGCATTTAGCAGCTAAAGAAAGAGATGTTTCTGTCAGGACTTGGTAGAGATCAAAAATAGAGCTAAAAGATAGTGAATATTGGACTTAGATTTGCCAAGTGGCCAAAAACAACAGCTTGAGTGAATATTGATGTTCCTCCATGTGTGCAAGTTGTGTAAATAGGCAGATTTTATGTCTATAAAAACTGCAGTATGACTGAGAAAAGATGACCTGGCACCCATTTTATTTGAGCGTTTGAGATGAGATTGTATGCACTGCCTTGCCTGTATGTCACTTGAGCACATCTGACTCATGTGATTTGTGTCCAGTCTGGTGGTCAGATGACAAAAACAAAAAGAAATCAGTCAGTGCAGAGGAGTGGAGAAAAAAAAATCATCGGTTCTTCCCAAATTCTTTTCTATTTTTTTATGATAATGCTCTGTACTTGGGGGTTTTGGAGTCTTAGGTATAAAAATGATGTTACTTTGGAAAATTTCTAATGGGCATATTTTTTTACAATTTTATGACATTAGTGGATAAACCAATTAGTCACAGATTAGTCAAAGACAATACAAAGAGATATCTGATAATGAAAGTGATTATTAGGTGCAGCTTTTTAAAGCCCTCAAGTCCATCAGGCCCCGCTTCATCTTAGCTGACACAAAAAAATTATTTTTTAATATGTACCTCAGGGAATCACACATCCTACTTTCTCTCACCACAGGGACCACCTGCACGGAGACTCTAAAGCAATAAAGCAGACTTGAACAAGCTCAGCATGAATCTAATATCACTGGAGCTGATATGGGGAGCGACTTCAGTCTCCGAGCTGCTGTTTCTGCCATTTTTATTTCCCTCGCTCCCCTTTATAAGCTCATCAACTGCAAGATGCCTCCATGCTGAAATAGGTGGTGATGAGTAATGAGATGAGGAATGGTGTGTAAAAATTTGATGATGCACAACTCAAAAACCCTGCAGCCAGCACCCAAACACAGACCAGCCCTGCAGAAGGCAGCCTCTGTCCACTCCACTCAGAAAGTACAAGGACAGAAACATCCTGGCAAGTACAAGGCCTAGTCTTAGGATGAGTATGAGGCATCGTTCCTGCTATTCTTAGACATGAACAGGGGCGGGTGCTGCTAAATATAACCAGATAGTTTTGTGCCTGCCATTCTAATTTTGCACATGCTGAGGCCTTCCTAGGCTGTCCTGGTCTGTTTTAGGCTCTTACGTAATAAACAAAGCATAAGATGCAACGATCCAGACACAGAATGAAGCATTCCCTGATCCAGTCAAGACTCAGAAATCTGTTAGGATAAAAAGAGTAGAGGACTGATTTTAAAGGTTTTGATGCAGCGTGTGTTGTAGGGATTTCTGTGAAGCTGTATGTCTGTTGTTGTAAAAACAAGCCTAATGTGTGCTGGAACATTTACAGGGTTAAACAGCCCAAAGGACAGTTTGTCAGCTGTTAGCTCGGATGGCAGACTGGAAGAGAAAGATAATGAAATGGTCGTCAGGGAGACACATCATCTTGAGTATGCCGAAGTAACAACATTAAAGAGGAAAAATGCTGATTTTCAGCATTTATACATGAGCCATGGGACAGTTTACATTCACTGCTCATCCTCACATAGTCAGAAACAAGCCAGCAGAGCTTGTCCAGTCTCTACACCTGGGATGTTGCACATATGTACGGCTCCATCGAGACTCAACTGGCAGATGTGGAGAATATGAGCGTGACAGTGCCGTGAAGGTTTTGTGGCTCTTTTGTGTCCTCTCTACTGTGTCATCCAGGCAGCCTCCTGTGTTGATAACTGGCTTAACAATAAATCTCAAAATATTTGCAGCACTGACACAATGTTTAAACTACAGCGTGGTGATGGCAACTTTGTCTAAGAGTCTAAAGTATTGTGTCATTCCACAGAATCAATCAGAGCATCTTTCTAGGCCTCAGCGGCATCTACCAGTATTTAGTATTCAATACAAGAGGCAGGGACGACATCTGTGGACTAAATAGATCAGAAAGTTCTGCCTCGTGTCATGATGCATTTTAAGTCAGACGTCTGACTCTTACTGTTGCTGTTTCACTCTCATATTGCTCTCATTATGTTTTGTTCACACCTGCTCTCAAAATTGTTTTGTAGTAGACAAAGCAGGATGAGGGAAAGTTGGTACAGCACTGATTGTAATCGAATATGAAGAAAGATTTTTGCTCACAAAAGGAAGTCACGGGTGGCCGACTTCTCCTTGGCTTTGTCATCTGACCACCAGACTGGACAGAAATGATGAGTGAGTTCTCAGGTGACGCACAGGCAAGGCGGCTCACAGACTCCCATCACAAATGCTCAAATAAAATGGGTGCCAAGGGACCTTCTCTCATTCAAAATGCAGAAAATATCAAAAATACAAATAAAAGATTTTGTCTTTAATATCTATGCATATGCTGTTTGCAAAATAAGATGAACATGTGAGTAATAAATGATTAATGGTCAATTTACTGGTACCCATCTGAAATATTGAGAGAGAGCTCAGCCATGAAATGCGGTGTACATGGATCTATTTATAGTACAGCAGAGGAAGCCATGTGGAACCAGCTGTTCAGGGATGCCTTGTTCATGTAGCTTTTAGAGGTAAATGACAGGGGGGAAATGGGGGAAACACATAAGCATTACACCCAAATTTTCATATAGAGCCACTTTTCATGCTTACATGAAACTTTTAGACAGACACAGCAAGAACAGCAATAAATAATTTCCACATTAGGAAGATGGAAAGCCCCAGCTCAACTCCCTCGTCCCCTGAAGCCTCCCGTTCCCCTCCCACCATGTGTCGTAGGATTGTTTGGGAGTTAAAAGGAAGGGAAGTGACATGTTAAAACCTCTCTTTATTAATTCTGAGGCGAGGAGAGGGTGCTTGGCAGGGCGTCACAGCAGCAGATGGGTGCAGGGAGGCTGTGTGATGCACAATCTGATATTCTCCAGCTGATATCTGGATGAATTACTTAACCAAACCCTCATATTCTCTGCAAACAGTAATAAAATATGATGGTGTTTGCACCACAGGGAGAAGGCTGCAGATTCTGTCCTTATCACACCCTCTTTGTTTATATATCAGAGGTTTGTAATGGTCTCTTGTTTGCAGCACGGTTAATACACATGACAAGGGCTACGTGACCATCCAGTGATGGCTAGTGGACATTATTGTAGTTGTGAAAGTACCTTTTGCACCTGTGTATATGTCTGGGTGTTCAAATATAGTAGCTTGTGTTTAAAAATTGTGTGAATGACTGTGTAGGCTAGCAAGTAAAGGCTGTTTTCTTAATCTGTAGATTATTTATGTCTATGAAAAGTGATAAAATAGTGAGAGATGCTCCTCAATTTTTCACATATGAGCCCATATTTTCTGTTAATTAATTAATTAACCATCTTAGTTTTACTCACAAACTGTAATAATGATACTGCCAAAGACCAAAAAGCCTGAATGGGTGATTAATAATTTAAGAACCACGGTAATTCCAGCCTCTTTAATCTGCTATCACTCACTGTAGCCATAAGTGGGGTGTATTATTACCAGAGAGTGCTTCATTATAAAGGCGTGGCCCTACACTGACATCTACTGGTCACTGTGGCCACATGCAAGTGTTTGTAAAACACTTATGCACATGTGTTTGTGCATTGCAATACACTCATTTGTGACAGTTGGACTTGTCATTGTAAAACTATGGAGACTGATGTGCAGCCTCCACTCTTGGTTTCAGACTTTCCTCATAATGTTGAACCTGGGTACAGGCGTTTGGTCCCATTCAGCATTAGTGAGGGCTGATACTGACGTTGGATGACAAGGTAAAGTTCACCCCTCAGATGTTGGATGGAGTTGAGTTCAGGGCTCTGTGCAGGTCACTGAAGCTCATCCAGAACAAACTGGTAAAATTATGTCTGTGTGGGCCTGGTTGTTGGATCAGGAGAGGGCCTTCTCTGGTGGACCAGAGATGCCCATATACTTTGGGGAATATGGTATATATAATAATTTGTTGCATTATTCATTGCAGCCTGAGCAAAGAAACTCATCATGTCTGCTAGATGGTTTTACAGAATGTACATCTTGCTAAATTAATTTTTTCCTTCTTACTGTTGTCATTTAGAATCACTACATAAAAAAATGTATAATTTGTGATGCTGTCAAGGATGAACTTACTGCTGGTTGTTAAAGAGTTGTGTTTTGCTTCCCTCTCTGGTTGTAATGGTTGTAAGAAATGAAAACACAGGACATCAGCAGAAACACATTTTTCAAGGAATGGTGAGCTACCATTTAAAGGAAACTTTACATGTTAACAAAAAGTGTCATCTAACTAAATGTACCTTTAAAGTCTTGGTAGATGAGGTCTACTTGTGGTTCCCTTGCTGAGGGGTTTGTATTCTTAAGAGCTAGAAATTAAAATCTTAGACAGCTGCAAGATGATTAACGAGTTCAGAAGAAACAAAAATATATCACTGCTTTAAAAAAATTATATACAAATTTTAGCGTTTTATATAATTGCACAAAATCCCTCAGGGGGTAGTAGCATGTAAATGATGGATTTCTTGCATTCAATAATGCTGGGTATCCATGTCTTACATTCATACTGTAACCAGGTTAGATAGAGCTAGAATGTGAATTTTCACATTCTTCACTTAATAAGCTTAAATCTGTGGGTGTATCCCCTGAAGTAACAGCAAAGTTTGTGTTGCCTTTAACACATACAGCCCTGCACACACCTGTGACTACAGTGTGTGTAAGCAGATCTCCTACATCAGAGAAACTAGTTCAGTAAAGTGAGTAAAATATCTGGGGAAACTGCAGCTATCTGCAGCTGAGCTCTGCACAGATTATACAAAGATCAATCAGCATGGTTGTTTCTCAAAATAACTTTTTTCCAGAGGGGACAGCTGTGTCACTATCAGTGGAGAGAGGTAACTCTGTTACATGGGAACAGTCCATCTGTAGCCTGATAATATTAAAGGACAAGAAAATCTGATGGGTCTCACACTTGTGGCCCCCAGCGGTCTGGACATACAGGCAGAATGAAAGGCCTCTGGTTGCTGTTGGTGCTCGTGGCTGCAGCCACAGCTGAGAAGCTCTTTGTTGGGTAAGTTTATTTGTGCACACTGCAAGAAGAAACAGTTACAGTGGCTTGTGCTTTAAGGTTGAAATTCCTAGCTTTGTGTTTGGGGTGACTGGAATGGCAGTTGTTAAAATTCTTACTTTATATGACCAGTGGAATTTCCTTTGCAGAATGGTTTTGTATTTATTTATTAACCTTCTCTTTCTTGTACTTAAACCTATGGTACTGGGTGTAAACTTAAGATATAGAGAAAACACTTTTAGAATCCATTAACCCAGTCTGCCATTTAATTTAGAAAAAGAAGATGTAGTCTTAGTTATTAGATAAAATATTTAGAGACTTGATTAGGTGGGTTTTCCTTCCTTGGATCGGTTCTGTTTAGTATGTTAAATAATTACTTATGTTGAAAAGTACAAGGTATTCAGTGTGTAGAACTTTATGTAGGCTTTATGTTTAGATGAAGGTCAAATCCTACTGTACTGTGACTTGTTAAATAAAATGGAGTGGTATTCATGGGTCTGGACACGAACTGTAATCAGTGAAATAAATCTCTCTCTATTGCTGAACTCATTTTGCCTGAATAAGTGCATCAAATAAAAATGTAACATAATCAGACACTGATGTGATTTTCTTCCAGAGATCAGGTCATCAGAGTCAATGTAGAGCTTGAGGAAGACATCCAACTCCTGCAGGCTCTGGAAACTCTGGAGTGGAAGGTATAGAACTGCAAAAACACACACTACAAACGCCTATGTTGGAGTTTCTTCTGCTGCTTGTGCCAAACAGTTCTTTGTCAACTTCCAAGAATTCAGCTTGAGATAATCCACTTAGTTGTTTGGGGTGAAGGTTAACACTTCATGCCAAAAACTCTCGGGGGCTCAGCTGTTGTTTTGCACTTCACCCTTTAAAGCAGAAGAAAATCCAGAGATGAACATTTGCTCTTATTTTATTCTGCTTTTCAGAGGTTTTGCTGCTTCTTTAAGAAGTACATTTATTTAGAATAAAGCAAGTGCCATAAATAAATGTCAGACAGTTTTTTCAGCAACAGAGACTAATTGGAGAAAATGCTTGTTGTAGGTTTTAGGTTGACCTGAACTCTGATTAATCATTCAGATTCATTCTGGGACGTTTTAGTGATTTAATTTATAGCTTTGACTCCAGGACTGCCCAAACATCTGTCACACATCAGGTTTTGGAGATTTGGAGATAAATATTGATTCTAGAAGTAAGTGTGAGCCAGTGAAGGGCTCCTGAAACTGAAGTGATGTGTTCCTGTTTACTGAATCTCTTTGAGGATTCAACACAGAGAAATGGTTCTTGTTAAAAACAGACCATACTTAGTGTTTTGTCCGCAAGTTCTCATTGCTCATCTGATTCCAGCTGGACTTCTGGCTCCACCCAGTCTCCACTGAGCTTCCTGTCGACATCCGAGTGCCTCGCTCCAGTCTGAGCGCTGTGAAGCGTTATCTCCATGACCACAACATCTCCTTCTCTGTCATAATTGATGACCTTCAGGTTTGCAGTGACCTTTAACATTATAATCTGATCATTGTTCTTGTCCCTGATTATAGTGTCCTGATTTTTAATTTGATTTTGAGATTGAAATGATAACAGTGCTGAATTGTCAATATCTTGCATGTCACATTCAGGAGCTTCTCGATGAGGAGAAAGCTGAGATGGAGAAGAACCAGATGAAGGAACGCAGCACCAGGAGCTTCAACTTTGGAGCCTATCATGCTATAGAGACAGTAGGAATCAATACAAAACTTTATCATATTATCTGAACTACATATCAAACTGTGTAAGAATGATCCCATAGCACCCACTTCATGGTTGGGGTTAGGCCTTAGGACAGCATAAGGTTAGGTGTAGCACAGGTAAGTCGGGTTGGGGAGAAGGTCAGGCTCAGGGAAATGGACTTTGACACAGCAAGAGTCTAAATTCATCCATTTTCTAATTTTTAAGCTAATAAATTGTGCAATTTATAAAAAAAATGGTAGTCCAAGAAACCATGTCCAGCTACTGGTGCAAAGTAAGTGAGTGCATTTACCCTAGTACAGTGCTTAAGTACAATTTTGAGGCATCTATACTTGAGTATTTTCCTATTGTGCTGCTTCATACTTTGGCTTCACTACATTTTAGAGACGCTAATGTTGGTTTTTCTTTTAATTTGTCATGTGCTGTATTTGTAGATGAACCAATTACATCTTGGAATTTGTCGGGCATAAACTAAACAGTTCACAAAAAATGACATATCTTACACTGCATGTAATTGTAATCAGAGATTTGATAAGAATTTAGCATCTAAATAGCATAAATTATTCTCTCTGGCTATCTGCATATAGAGTCTAATGTAACTGCAAGCCTTTTTTGAATTGTTCAACTAATTGTCAGCCTTGTGTAGAGTTACCGCAGTTGTTGTCCTAAGAATACCTTAGCTCAGTGATTCCTCTCCTCTGGGCTCTTAATAAATGTTAATACAAGGTTTGTATAAATCTCAATAAATATGATCTAGTACAGGTAGCAGTGAGTATACAGCATATATTCAGGTCCACCGCACCCGCCTTACGTGTTTCTGTTTAGTCTCAGACATTCTGCATTTCTCTGCCATGTAATGTTCGCCTTGTCTTTCACACAGATATACAGTTGGATGGACACCCTGGTGGCTCAGCACCCTAATCTGGTCACCAAGCAGGAAATCGGGAGATCCTATGAGAACAGGCCCATGTATGTGCTCAAGGTGGGATAATAATTCACATATTTCTACATGACTGTCTGAGAATGACTGTGCTTCAGTACAGGACTGAAAAAGTTGTGAACTTGTGTCTGACATGTATCTGCTTGTTGCAACATGTCACTGAAGCCACAGCATGTCACAGATCAGCTAGGGGAAATTTAAGGTCAGTTTTTTTTTTTTTTTTTTGCTGCAATAAAAACACTGGGGATTAATTAAAATGTACTTTGCTTTTAGTTCAGTACCGGTGGTTCCAAGCGCCCTGCTGTCTGGCTCGACACAGGAATCCACGCTAGGGAATGGGTGTCTCAGGCTACTGGAGTGTGGACAGCCAACAAGGTACAACACATCAACAACATGAGGTTATGCTGAACTGTGCTAGTGTCGGAAAAATACTCTTAGAGGAGCATATTGAAAATCTCAGGTTGAGAAATACTTTAGAGCTGCAGTGATTGCACATTTAGTTGAGTAACAGAAAATGTACTTTACTGACAGTTGAGTGTTTCAGTCATTTCTTAGTAAAACTGATCATTGTTGTCTGGTTTGAGCTTCCCATCTTGATCTTTTATTATTTTCTGACATTTTATAGGGGAGGAGCTGATTAATTAATAAATAATTAAAATGATCTTTAGTCGCTACCTTAACAATAATAATAATAATTTATAATTATATGTAACTTAACAAGAAAAGGCACATACACTATAATAATGCACCTATTATTCTTGTTACTAGACTCATAAATCTGTGTTAAATCAACATGGTACAGTTTAATCCTATGTATCTTCCTAGTAGCTTCTCACTAATCCTTTTTGTTAACCTTGTCTTCATGTACTGCTGCGGGTATTGTCACACTCTTT